AAAAAGAAAGAAAGAAAAGAAACTTAAGAAATGCTAAGTGTGTGGTGAATGTGTTAAATATACGAGAAAATAGTCTTTTATCATTTACTACCATAAGTATATACAATTCTATCATAAGAACTTAAAATATCAAAATTTATGGACATGAACATACTACATGGCATCATGAACAGTTGAGAGAAATATAAACAAATGTAAAGATGCAGAATTTAATTCTAAGTGTATAAAATTAATTGTAGTGATTCTCTACTGTAATAACTTTGTAGCCAACTCCTATTGCTATTGTGGTGAGCTCAAGTATTGCCATTATCCTTTTAAAACACTGTGTAACTATAATCATTGTCATGTCTCCAGTCTTGTCTCTCTAGTAAATTGCTTATCAAGTAATCTCTCAGTGTGGTTCTTATGTATTTCTCACTGTATGTAATATATTACAACGTAGAAAATACATGTTAATAGGCAGTTTATGTTATTGGTAAGACTTCTGGCTATCAGTAGTTAATTTTTAGGAAGTCAGAAGTTACAGATTTTTGGCCAGATGTCGTGGGTGGTACATGCCATAATCTAAGTAACTCACAAGGTTGAAGCAGGAGGATCATAAGTTTTGAGGCCAGCCTCAGCAACTTTGCAGGATCCTAAGCAACTTAGTGAGACCCTTTCTTAAAATGGAAAATAAAAAGGGCTGAGAATGTGGTACAGTGGTAGAAAGCCCCCGAATATCATCCCCAGTATACTCCCCACTGCCCCCCAAAAAGTTAGCGGTTTTTAAATTTTTTTTTTTGTGTGTGTGTGGATGTGTTTTAAGCAAGCCACCCCCTTTCCCCCTGTATTTGTTGCATTGGGAGGAGCTGGCCATCTGCTCAGGAAGATTGGTCCCTCAGCTTTTAATTTTATTTATTTATTTATTTTTGTGTGGTGCCGAGAATCAAACCCAGTGCCTCACACATTCTAGATCAGCGCTGTAGCACTGAGCTGCAACCCCAGACCGAGGTTTTTGAATTTTTTTGCCTGTGATTGGGGATGACCTCCAAACCCCTAAGTTGTTCAACCGTTCGCTATATTTGGTTATCCTGATTTATCTATTTGCAGTTGGTGAAATAATGAATTGGAAATCTAGCATTATCCAAAGGTGACTGATGAATCTTTAAAAATTATGATAAATATATGGATTTATATGCATTGAAGCATTTAAATTTTCTGTTGTTTTTATTTTTGTGGACTCCATCTTACATTGTCCTAAATTCTACACATTGTTCTTGAGTCCTTTTGACATGATTCTATGAGAAGCCTTTTGGTAGTATTTTTACTTTGTGCTGTGACAGCATATTCATATTACACATTTTCTGTCACAAACTTTCTCTAGCTTCTCTTAAGAATCTTTAGTTTCTTTTAGAGGGAAGTAGTATTTAGAAATCCATCTGAGTACTAGAAATGAATGTTCTTGCTACTGAATTTGTCCTCATTTTAAACCTTGGTGATGGACAGACCTAGAAAATAATTTTCCATTCTTATTTTTTTGAGTTATTTTATATTAACTTAATATTTTGGTGCAGGGATTAAAACCAGGGCCTAATGCTAAATACGCCATGAAGACTGAGCCACACCTTCCCAACCCTTAATATCTTTTTTAAAGGGGAAAAAAAAGAGTCCAGATACTTCCAGTTTACATTGAGGTCTGTAGGGTTTTACTTTTTCCATCTTACATAGATATCTCCTTTTGACAAGTCTGAAAATTGTAGCGCCAAATGATACCAACATAATTCCTCATTTGTTTTATCACCTAGCATACATAGAATAATCTCAGAACTAACAATTATTATAGTAGTCCCTTCTCCCCTGCTTATCTGTGGGGGATATGTTCCAATACCCTCAGTGGATGCCTGAAACTACAGATAATACTGAACCCAATATATACTGTTTTTTCCATGTGTGAGTGTATGTATGAGAACTTTATCGTATATATGTATATACGATAATTTATAAATTAGGCATAGTAACCAACGATAATTCGTAATAAAATAGGACAATTACCAATATACTGTAACAAAAGCTATGTGAATGTAGGTTTCTTTGTCTCAGAATATCTTAATGTTGTATTCACCCTTCTTGTGATGATATGAGATGATATAATGTTATGTGATGGCATGAAATAAGGTGAATGATGTAGTCTTTGGGATAGACCATATAAGAGTTAACTTGAACACAGTGCTGTGAAACTACAGTCAGTTGATAACTGGACCAGCATCTAAGGGACTAATGAGTGCTTAGCATGGATAGGCTAGACAAAGTGATGATTCATGTTCCAAAGCAGGATGGAGTAGGACAATATTCGGTTTCATCATGCTACTCAGAATGGTGCACAGTTTAAAAGGTATTTTAAATATCTTTAAATACCTGGAATTTTCCACTTAATATTTTTGGATCACAACTAATTTAAACTATGGAAAGCAAACCTGAGGATAAGGAGACTACTATTCTGCTGTATAGGATTTTTCCTCCTTTTCCTTAAGATAATTTCCCATGTGGGATGAATAGTTAAATTCCTGTTTTTAATTCACTTGAAATAATTCTACTTCATTTGAATGGATTTGCAGCCTGGTACACAGTTCATGTGTTTCATTGCCTTTGATTTTTAAAGATTTTTATAAATGTGATATTTTATAACTGTGATGGTTACATGTTCAAAGGTAAAATCTGTAAAACAAAGAATATTGAGAGAAATTTAGCTTTTATCAGGGTCCCTTGTCTCCTCCTTCCCATCCTCTTCCAAAAGTTTCTGTCTATCTATCTATTTATTTGTTTACTCCCTAATACCAGGGAGTGAACCCAGGGGTGCTTAACATTGTAGTGCCAAATGATACCAACATAATTCCTCATTTGTTTTATCACCTAGCATACATAGAATGATCTCAGATCTAACAATTCTGACCCACAACTGTCCTAACAACTGACCTGCATCTGAGCCTTTTTTTTTTCCCCCCATTTTGAGACAGGGTCTTACTAAGTTGCTTAGGGTCTCACTAAGTTGCTGAGGGTGGCTTTGAACTTGCAGTCCTCCTGCCTCAGCCTCCCTTGCCACTGGGATTACAGGCTTGTGCCATTGTACTTGGCTCATAAGTCTCTATTTAAAAATGTTTTAGTTTATATTTATCCATCCATTCATCAGTCTCTCCTCCCATCTTAGATAAACATTAGCATGTTGTATATACTTCACCTTGTTATTTTTGCCTTACAATACCCCCTGAATATTATACCATTCTTTATTGCATGTGTTCTGAATGGGCGATAACACGCCATGAGGATAAAACTTGAGTGGGAAAAAATCTTGGATATGACAACTGTTTGTGCTCCTCTGAAGAGCCACAGTACACAGAAACACAGATAACAGAAACACAATATGTGTGGATATTAAAATTGCATAAGGGTGTATAATGAAAATTAGGAAACTGCTCTGTAGAGAATATAGCATTTCTCAGTTCTTTCAAAAGTGTGTACTTTTTATTTAAGAATATATAACTAGTTCCCTATTTGTCAACAATTGGGTTGTTTCCATTTCTTTACAATTACCAATGGTACTAAATTGTGTTTTTTTTTTGTTTTTTTTTTTTTTTCTATTTTTGCTGGTGCATCTTAGAGATAAGATTCCAAAAAGTTCAATTCCTAGGTCAAGTGGTAATTGCCTTTTTAATTTTGGTAGATATTGCCAAATTCTTCTTAAGATAATGTTTTAATTTATACTAGAGCATGCGTTCTAAATTGATTTATTGTGAGATATTGGTGCCATTTATAAGAAGCTTATCAATTTTCTAAATAGCTATAAGAAATATAATTTTCTATTTCACATGAAAACTTACCCATTATTTCACTTATATTGTTTCAAAATTATCACTCACCCTACTTACCAGAAGTTGTTTATAAAAGAATAATATCTCTGCCCCAAAAATCAAATGGCTGTAACTAATTTTTTAAAAAATTGTACTGCATCCTGTCTTTTTCAGTAAAGATCATTGCTAACATAAAGAACTTCTTTTTCAAGTAAATGTTGCACATATATTTTTAAACAATTTTAAAAATTTATAAAGTATTAAGTAACTTTAGTATATAAATGAAATATTTAAATGTTTTCACATTACCTCAAAAGAGCATTTCATTATTTATTTATTATGGTAAAGATTGAACCAGGGCCCTTGTACATGCTAGGCAGGTACTCTATCACTATATTTATATCCCCCGCCCACGATAGAGCTTTAAAAATAATTACAAAATATTTTTAACTGATAAATTAAAACAAAGAATTATACTAAAAGAAATTTTTTTCCCCTAGAGGGATAAATAGATTTTCCACTGGCTTATTTCACTTAAGTTTTTCAATACTTTAAGTCAAATAAGTTGTCTAGGTTTTTTTCAGCTCATTGTTTTTATGAAGCTATTAGATTGTGTGGCAAAAATCCTGTGGTATGTGAAAGTACTTCTTACATTTTCAGTCATTTAATTTAATGACTTTCAGTTTAATGATCTGAGGGCTGGTGTGTAATAACTCAAACTGATCATGACAGATTGAAACAGTCTACCTATTTGCTTCAGATAATTTTTATCCACCTAAAACAGGGTCTGGCACATGGTAGGCACTCAAATTTGTTGAATAAATAAATGACTATGGCACTACCACCACTGATGTTTAGCAAATGGTTAGTGAAGAAAGGAGTTAGAATATCTGAATATTTTATCTGTGAAAAGCAGTCATAAGATTTACCAAGTAACCAAGTTTTCTAGAACACATTAAACTGTTCAGAGATTAAAGATAAAAAAATTCTAAGAATAAGTGAAATTATTGTAGTTATTTTGGCTTATTAAAGGTCTCCATTTTATTAAAGCATTGTATTATTGCAAGGTACTATCAGTTAAAATAGTTTTGCAAACTAGTTCTCTTGAAATTAGAGTGAACTTATGATTTTTAAAATATATTTTTTATATATTGCATTTTTCTCTTCCCTTTGTAGGCATTTGGGATCACAGCTTTGTGAATTAGAAAAACTGATAGATAAAATGATGATTGCAGAATTTTCTACTTACTCTCATAGTGATTTAAATAGACCACTAGAAGATGACTGTCAAGTTTTAGAAGAGGTATGTGTTTTGAACTATAGAATGAAATCACTGTCATTGCTAAGTGTTAATTACTAACAGCCTTAGATTAGAATACTTTCTTACTTCAGATTTTAATGAACAAAATTAACTTGAATATTAGGGACTATCAGACCTATGAAGTCCATTATTAGTACCGTTAAGTGTTCAGTATCTTGTGATATTAGAGAATAAAATTATTTTATAGCTTATACAGAAATAAGAGTTAACATGAAGTCTTTGTAGCTTATAAATCAAGTTTAAAATATAGGTATAAGATGAATGAATAAATTTATAGTCCATGTGTGCATTCATTTGCTGACATTCATCTTTTGTAAAAAGTAATCATTGTATATGGTAATTTTATTGGTCACTCAAGTTCATTGAATGCCTATTGTGAACATGTTTCTTGTATATTCATATATAAATGTATCATATCCTGGCTTCACTTATCTGATACCTTCTCAATGCTAATCATTGCCAGTAACTGGTTGAAAACTATATCCAAAAGGTCTTGACTAATAACAGCCCAAGTAATTAAAGACATGTATGTGTTAGAGGTTGACTTAGTCCACCTCTTCACTCTACTTTTCTAGAACATGAATTTTAAAACAGGGCTTAGGCTGGGTGGGGTTGTAGCTCAGTGGTGGAGTGCTTCCCTTGCATGTGTGAGGCACTGGGTTCAATTCTCAGCACCACATATAAATAAATAAAATAAAAGTTCATTGACATCTAAGAAAATATTTTAAAACAACAACAACACAGGCCTCAGGAAGTACTATTGGTTATCCAGGTTTAAGAAGAATATTTCTCTTTATGGAAAGTGGGTCAAAAATACCCTTGTATTGTTTTGCTCCAAAACAGCTTCATTTGATCCCATGTGGTGGAGTAGGGTTTGTCTGTTTTATAACATTGGCTACAAAAATCTGATTATAAGATTGCTGTAGGAGGGATTTTTCAGTCTTCAAGAAGTACTACATTTCAGGATAGAGATCTGAGAATAAACAAAATTCTTGATGCTGAATATTTCTATGTCTAAATATTTCAAATTTAAAATGTGAAATTACATATTTTTCTTTTATTTTAATAGGAAAGACTAGTATCTCTTGTATTTGGACTTTTAAAACAAAGAAAACTTAATTTTTTAGAAATCTATGGTGAAGAAATGATTATTACAGCAAAGAATATCATTAAACAGGTAATTGTACATATTTCTTTGATATGTGGTCTGGAATTTTTGTGAAGTTTATGTTATCTAGTAATATGCGGTATGCATTATAATGGTGATACTTGCTCTTTTATTTAAAAATTGAAAATATGGAAAAATATAAGAAAAAAATGGGCTTAGCAGCCAAGATTATCATTTTAAGAATGAATCTATGTGTAGATTGTTAACTGATTGTCTAAAATTGTTTGTCATAATGTGCACATGATTTTGGATATATATATCAGTTAGAATCAACTTATAAGTATTTTCTTGTACTATTATGTAAGCATTAGTTTTAATAATTACATAAAATTTCATTACATTTATGTTGAATAAGCCTTTTTAGCCTATCTTACATGTGGGATATTTAAGTTACTTTCAGTTTGGTATTGTAAATGGCACTGAAAACATCTTTGGTATAAAGTTAATTTAGTTTTCATATTTAAGACTATTTACTTGGACCGATTCTCAAAAGTAGAGTTAATGGTCACAGTGAAAAGTATATTTAAGTAGTTTGATACATAGAACTGAATTGCTAAGTAAGAAAGATTTTACAAATTCATATTCACACCGTCAGCAGACAAATATTTGTTTTCTTTTTACTCTGATCTCTAAGAAATTATAAACTAAAATACATATTTTTTAGTTTTCCTGATCTTTATTTATTTTTTGTTTTACTCAGATAAAGGATGATATAATTTAAATTGTGTTTATTAGGTTTAATCAATCATTGTCATTTATTAGATTGAATGCATTTATATGAATATGAGGGTTTTTTGGTTTGGGGTTTTTTTTGTCTTTGCTTTTTTTTTTTTCCCCCTTCAGTGTGGTACTGGGGATTAAACCCAAGGGTGCTCTACCACTGAGCTAAATCCCCAACCCTTTTTAATTTTTGAGACAGGGTTCTGCTAAATTGCCCAGGCTAGTCTTGATCTTGGATCTGGAATTACAGGCATGTACCACCATGCCCAGCCATATGAGAGTTTTTAATGTGTATATAAAATAAACAAACAAACAGAATGTAGTGACTCTCTTTTTTCACTCAAACGCTGAATTTTTAAATTGGTTTAAGCACTTTGGAAAATTGTTCAGTAGCTACTTAAGTATACATATATTACAACCTATATTTCTATTTCTAGGTTTTCACCCAAAAGAAATACTTAAATAAGTTCACCAAAACACAGTGGAGAATATTCATGGCAATGCTATTTGTAATAAAAACTGTAAACATCCCAAATTCCATCATCAGAAAAAAGGGATAAATAGAATTATGGTATATTTATACAGTGGAATACTATGCAGCAATGACAATAAATAACTCAGAATTATGTAAATAAATATTACGTAATGTGAAGCCAAAAAAACCAATAGTTACTGGGCAGAGAGCAGAAACAGGGCAGCTGTGGGTACTGGCAGTTGAACAAATGTACTCCATAACTGCACTGAAAGCATAATTTGTATGATTTTTCATATACTTACAAAAAATTAACTGCTATTTTAATTCCATATATTTCTCCTGAGGCTTAAGCATTTATTTTTATTTATTTATTTATTTATTTATTTATTTGAGAGAGAGAGAGGGAATTTTTTAATATTTATTTTTCAGTTTTCGGTGGACGCAACATCTTTTTATTTGATTTGTATGTGGTGCTGAGGATCGAACCCAGTGCCCCGCGCATGCCAGGAGAGCGCGTTACCGCTTGAGCCACATCCCCAGCCCGGCTTAAGCATTTATTATTACCCTTTTTAAACTTTTTGTTATTGTTGTTGCATGTATTGCAAGAAAATGCAAACTTCCAGTATGCATTTTTTTGGTGATTTTATTTTTAAATATTTATTTTTTAGTTATAGGTGGACACAATATCTCTATTTTATTTTTATGTGGTGCTGAGGATTGAACCCAGTGCCTCACGCATGCTAGGCAAACGCTCAACCTCTGAGCCACAACCCCAGCACCTCTTTGGTGATTTTAATATTAAATGTATACATTGTTTATAAGCTTTACAGTTCTGTTTTGCTGGTGTATGATTTGGAACAGTTTTAAATAGTAGGGCATTTTAATTGTTACAGTTCAAGCATACTCTGAAATAATTATTTAATGGGCTAAGGGTCATGGCTGCAGTTTTTCTGATACCTTGAGTTGTGTATAAGAGGTACAAGAAATGTCTATTGAAATGATTATTGTAGTCAGCGAGTCATTTTTGATGTACAGATGGAACGTGGAGTACTTGGGATTCTAAAGACAATTAATTAAATTGTGTTTGTTTTTTCTTAAATCTTGCAGTGTGTGATTAATAAGGTTTCACAAATAGAAGAAATAGACACAGATGTTGTTATGAAGTAAGTATTATATATAGGTTGATGGTTATCAGTCAGGGAAAAGGTGACACATACTAATTACAGTAATTTAAAGAGAATTTAGTGAAGGAATTATTAACCAAGGTATGGGGCAGGATATAAGAAAATCACAAGTTGACAGTGTAGTACCTTTAAAAGACAAAGAAAGAGCACTTACCGGAATTCAGGAGAAAGTAAGAGTTGAGGAAAAGAATTGAGAAAAAGCTCTGTTGTGAATAAAGGAAACAGTCATTCTGAGGTCATGCTTCAGGGAGGAAACTGGAAGAGACTAAGTATAGTATAGTCTTCCCTTATCTGCAGGCAGATGCATTCCAAGATCCCTAGTGGATACCTGAAACTACAGATAGTACTGAAGCCTCTGTATATCTTGTTTTTTCCCATGTGCCCCATTTAATCTGTCCTTCCGTGTTTATACCCTGCTGCCTCCTTTGTGTGATTACTGTGGTGCTTTGGAGCCCTTACTAAGTGAAATAAAGGTTACTTACTTAAACATAAACCCTGTGAACCAACATAGTCGATCTGATAAACGGGAGGCTACTAAGTGACTAATGGGAAGGTATCATACATAGGATGGATAGACTGGACAAAGAGATGATTCATGTCATGGGTGGGAAGGATTGGTTTTGTGCAAGGTATTATATTACTTGGGATGGCACACAGTTTAAAACTTATGATTTGTTTACTTCTGAAAATTTCCATTTACTATTTTTGGACTTCAGGTAACCAAAACTGTAGAACATATAACTGCAAATAAGGAGTGACGACTGTGTCTTTCTTCTTCTAGCCTTTCTAAGGGCTCCTCATTGGCCAAGCCCAACAGGTTGGCCTCATGGGGCAGAGAGGAGAGTGGGAGATGGATAGAAGGTAGATACAAAGTTGGGAAATTGAAGATAATCATTTCAGCTGGATAGCAAGTATTAAGTCTAAGTTATTCAGCTATGTAATTGAAACCAAACTAATCATTGGCTTGGAAGAGTTTGAGAATTTGATTTTGAATTGCCTGTCCTGTAATTTTTGGTTTTTACCCTTGGAAGTTCCTGTTCTTTTATTTTGAGACTAGTGATAAGTGTTTTATGACTGAACTGCTCATACATCTGCGTATCTAAACTTTATTCATACTGGCCTAAAACATGAATGATAATGTAAAGACAGCTGTGAAGTTTTTCTGGTCCAAACCCACAGAATGAAGATTGTGAAATCAATTTCAGAATTAGCTGAAGCAAATATAATAAAGGAATAATAGCTAGAAAATGTAAGTCATTGACACTTGAGAGTTGGTGACTTCATTTTCTTCTCCTGTAGGGAACTTTAGTATATCTAGTATAGGCATATTTTTTGAGAATAAACTTTTGGCTTCAGCAGTATTTATTAAAAATTTAGAGTAATAAATCATTTTAGTACTATGAAAATATCTTTGTGGAATTCTGTTTTGCACTAATCTATTTCATTTTTGAAATTATTGATTGCTGTCATCTATCAAATAATAAATATAGGCTCCTACTTACATAGCATATTTTAAAAGTACCATGCATTGCTTTAACTTATTTATAAAACTATATAAGGGAGATTTTATTACTTTTCCCATGTTAAGATGAAAAAATGGGAGTATGAGGACTGATCACTTGATAGGCTCACATAGCTAATAATTAATTTCATTAAGCTGCTGAAAGTTTGAATCAAGGAAGCATGGCTCCAGAGCCCATGTTCTTAACCATCATGTTATATTACTTCTCAGATGTAGAAAAGTACTTTGTAGTTAGAAAAACAGGTCATTAAATTTGTTGAGGGAGATATTACATTTCTATTTTTATTCCAGAAGATACCCTTACTTTTTGCCAAAATTGCTTTATTTCTATATGGTTTATTCCTTCAATGGTCACAAAACATGTTCACATGAATTGATATATGATAAAGTTTATATATTAGCATACTTACATTAATTTTAAAGATTTTTAAACAAGTAGAAATTGTTCTGGTAATTGGTGCCTTCAACTTAAAATTCTACAGTAGAGATCTAGATAAAATTGCATTTTGTTCTTGTTACTAGATAGCATTTAGATAGATTCTTTCCATTTGTAGATGTTATCCTATTAGTCCAGAGACCATCATTATGTTTTTTTTTATTTTATTGTAGGCTTGCAGATCAGATGAGAATGTTGAATTTTCCCCAGTGGTTTGACCTGTTAAAGGATATTTTTTCTAAGTTTAAAATTTTCCTACAGAGAGTTAAGGTAAGCTTACATATTAGTTTGTCCAGAATATCCCTACAATTTTTATCGTTCTTTGTGTATGTATGTATGTATGTATGTAATTGAGCTAGAATAAAATATAATTAGTTTGTTTTTGTAATTTTTCTAAAGAGGCTTGGTTTTAAATAAGAATTGAAGTGCCTCAGTATTTTGGTAATTCTTATACTTTTGAATGGTTCTACGTTAAAAAGAAATATTATAGTGCTTACTTGGTATTAAATATTAAATAATAATTTTTCCTCCTGTGATTTTTTTTTTTTTTTTTTTTTTAAATTTTTGGTACTGGGAATCAAACCCAAGGGTTCTTTCCCACTGAGCTGCATTCCCAGCTCCTTTTATTTTTTATGTTGAGACAGAGTCTCACAAAATTTGTCCAGGCTGGCCTGGAATTTGTAGTTTTCCTCCCTCAGCCTCCCAAGTAGCTGGGATTACAGACCTTCCATACCCGTCTCCTCTTGTACTCTTATGATGCTCAAATCTTTCTAGATTATATAGAGGTTCAATATTGTGAAACACTAAAAACTCATCCCAAACCACTAATTTTCCTAGAAGTTTGATGGTGATATAATATTATTTTTTAACATTGTTCATATTCAGATTATTTCACTAATGTCCATTATTATAGGTTTTTGTTTCATTTTTCTGTTCTAAGTTTCAATCAAACATCATATATTACATTTGTCTCTTTAGCTAAACCATTTAATTTTAAGCCATTTAATATAAGAACAAGAACACATGCCATAAAACTTTTTTTTTTTTTTTTAAGAAAAAAATGCCACAAACTATAATACATATTGGTTAAAATCACTGTGCTAGTTAGCATTCTGGCACTGTGACAAAATACCTGAGAAAAAGCAAAGGAGTAAAGATATATTTTGGCTCATGGTTTCAGTCCTTAGTTGCTTGGCCCCATTGCTGTAGGTTGATGATGAGGTACAACATTGTGGCAGGGAGGATAAGATGGAGTATAGCTGTTCACTATTAACTCATGACTACCAAAAGCAGAAAGTGTTGGGTGGAGAAAGAGGGTAAGGACAAGATATAGTCTCTAAGGGAATGCCCCCAAGAACTTACTCTCTTCCACCATATAGTTTCCACCACCTTCCAGTAGTTCTTTGAGTCATGAATTCATCGGTGGGTTAATCCATTGATAAAATTAGAGCCCTCATGATCACTTCCCAAAACCCCACCTCTGAAAATTGCTACAATAGGGACTGCATTAGTTAGCTTTTCTGTCATTGTGACCAAAATACCTGACAAGAAAAACTTAAAAGAGAAGTAAAAGTTTATTTTGGTTCACAGTTTCAGAGGTAAAGACTATATTGCCCTGAGCCCAAGGTGAGGCAGCACATCCTAAGAGGGGACATTGGCAAAGGGAAACTACTTCCATCATGGCAGCAGGAAAGCAGAAAGGGAGGTAGGGGGAAGGGGCCACAGGAAAGATGCACTCTTCCAGGGCACACCCCCAAGTGACCCACCTCCTCCAACTATGCCCCACCCTACTACAGTCACCTCCTAATCAGTCCATTCAAATTAGGATTGAGTGATCACGTTACCCTTCTCATAATCTAATCATTTTATCTCTGAATGTTCTGGCATTAACAGGAGCTTTTGGGGAACACCTTATATGCAGTTGTAACAAGGTCCAAGCCTTGAACACATGGGCCTTTTGGGATATTCTATATCCAGACTTTAGTAATCACTAACATATGATAGCTGTGTTTTAAATAAGAATATAGTCATTAAAAATTATTGAATGCAGTTTTAAAGGGGCCATTTGTTAAATTTGATATTGAGTTATTAAGTGTCAGTATTGTGTTGTATTGCTAGTTAACACCCCTAGCTTCTCATGAGTACCATATGAAATCATCTTGGGGACTTTGGTACTTCTCTACCACATGGATTTTCTTTACTGACATTGGAGCAATGCTGAGTTACATGTAGAAGTTTTTCAATCAGGGTCAGTCAAGTTTTATAGAATGTGTTTAATTTAAATGCTTGAGAATGGTGGGATCAAATTGTAGATCTCACCACCCATTGATGATGAAAGACAGCAAGTCTGGCTCTATTAATTGTTTAAGAACTAGACCATGTTTCCACTTTTTCTTAGGTTCTGTGACCTTGTTACACACATCTGTATTACAGATTTAGAGAACTCCTAAATTACGTAGTGTAGAATTGGCAAACTTTTTTTTCCTGTAATTTTTAAAGTAATGATTCCACTTTTAGACTCTGTGCTAAAACTAAGTAGAATTATTATTTGATGTCTATACAGCATAGGAACTGTGGTTTATCATAGTTATATGATTTCTTGTTTTCACATTTGAGCCACTTAAATTTGTAATTATGTAGAACATCTTTGAATATGACATGTAACCTTCAAATATGGTACTTTTTGCCTTGAAAAAAGTTTGTGATTCTATAAGGAATTATTCACAAAAAAATAATGTTAATTACATAATTACAAGCTGTTTTTCTTTTCCTTTGTGGCACTGGGAATTGAACCCAGGGGCAACTCTACCACTGTCTCCATCCCTTTTTAAATTTTATTTTGAGACAGGGTCTCACTAAGTTACCCAGTCTGGCCTAAAATGGGTACATTATAATATTAAATGAAAAGGCAAGATATGAGACCTACTTATATAGTGTGATTTCAGCTATGTCAAAAAAATATTTTTTATCTGTTCATAAAACAGAGCTTATATTTTTGGTGGTTATATTAGGTGGTTGGATCACATATCATTTAAAACTTTTATTCTTCTGTTTTCCATAAACTTTCTTTTAAGAAGAGCATTATTTACAATCATAAAAAGTTGTTTTGCTTTTTAATAGTGTTTATTATGTTTACAGGAATAACATAGTATTTAATTTTCTTGTTTAATTTATCAGGGTAAATAATTGCAAGCTGGGGCTCAGTGGTAGAACACCTGCCTCGCATGTGTGAGGCACTGGGGGTCCCATCCTTAGCACCACATCAAAAATAAATAAAGATTTGGTGTTCATCTACAACTAAAAAATATATATATAAAAGAAATTTGCTATCCTATGTTCTTGTGTTTATTTCTCAAAAACAAAATACATTTTTATGTCACTTTAATATTAAAGAAATGATATTTTTTAAAAGATGTTAAAGCAACAGAATATTTTAGTAATATTTTTGAATGGATAAACAATGAAAAGATTGGGGTTTGAAAATTTTCCTTTGAGCAATTATTAATGGCTCAAGGATCTATATTGCTGTTAATTGTTTTAGTATATATTTTTAATTTTTTATTGTAAGATGAACATAACATGAAATTTATTGTTAAGTGTACAATTCTGAGGCATTGTGCTTATTCACCTTATGCAGCCCTAACTACCATCCAGTCTCAGAACTTTTTTTTTTAATCATGCTTCACTTTTTTTTTTTAATATACATGGACACAACTTCTTTATTTTGTTTATTTTATGTGGTGCTGAGGATTGAAACCAGTGCCCCACATATGCCAGGCAAGTGCTCTGCCTCTGAACCCCAACCCCAACTCACAGAACTTCTTTTATCTTGCAAAAAAAAAGTATTAAACAATGCCTAATTTTTCTTCTTACTCCTGGAAACCACCACTCTACTTTCTGTCTCTCTGAGTTTGGCTTAAGTGGAATCATACAATATTTATCCTTTTGTGACTGGCTTATTTCATTTAGCCTAATATCCTCAAAGTGTCATTCATATTATAGCATGATTATAATTGCCTTCTTTTTCTAGGCTGAATGACATTTCATTATATGTTTATATTACATTTAGTTTATTCATTCGTCTGCCACTTGATTTACTTCTGTCTTTGGCTATTGTGAATAATGCTGTCATTGAACATAGACATAAATATCTCTTTGAGTGCCTGCTTGGAAATATATCCAGAAATGGAATTACTAGATCATACTGTAATTCTAATTTTTTGAGGGACTCTTACTGTTTTCCATAGCAACTGTACCATTTTACATTTTTGCTAATAGTGCACAGTGTTTCTAGATTCTTACTAACACTTGTTATTTTCTGGTTTGAGCCATCTTAATGAGTTTGTCCTGGTATTTCACTGTGGTTTTAATTTGCATTTCTCTAATGATTAGTGATGTTGAGTATTGTTTCATTCACTTATTGTATGGCTTCTTTGGAGAAATGCTTTGCCTGTTATTTAATTGGGTTGTTTTCTTGTTGAGCTGTAAAAGTTCTTTATATATCCTGGATTTTTAACCCCTTATTAAATACATGATTTACAAATATTTTGTCCAATTCCATGAGTTAGGTTTTCACTCTGTTGATGGTATCTTTTGGTACTAGGGATTGAACCCAGAGGTGCTTAACCACCTAGCCTTTTTTGTTGTTAGAGACAGGGTCTCGCTAAGTTGCTTAAGGTCCTTGTAAGTTGCTGAGACTGGGTTTGAACTCACAATCCTTCTTCCTCAGCCTCCTGAGCCTCTGGGATTAAAGGTGTGCACCACCATGCGAACTCTAAATGGTATCTTTTCATGCATAAAAAGTTTTTATTTTGGTATAGAACCTTTTACTTGTATTTTCTTTTGTTGCCTGTGCTTTTGGCATTATATCCAAGAAATCAATGCCAGTCCAGTGTCTTAAAGCTACCCTGTATTTTATTCTAAGAATTTTATAACGTTAGATATTATGTTTTTTATCTATTTTGAATTAAGTTTTCTTTTTTTTTTCTCCAGTACTAGAGGTTGAACCCAGGAGTGCTTTATTACTGAACTATGTATCCCTAGTCATTTTTATTCTTTTATTTTTGAGACAAGATCTTGTTAAGTAGCTGAGACTGGCTTCAAACTTTGTGATTCTCCTGCCTCAGCCTCCCAAGTCTCTGGGATTATAGGTATGCTCCACTGTATCCAGTTTGAACTAATATCTCTATGGGTGGTTATCCTAGTGCATTTTGTATTGTTTTTAACAAAATATCTGAACCTGAGTACTTTATTAAAAAAAAGAGTTTTACTTAACTGAAGGTTCAAGAGCATGGTGTATATACTTGAATCTCATGGTGGATGGCATCACAAAGATGGGAATATGTTAAAGGATTTTTAACTTGTAGTGTTTCTAGGATGAAACCCAGGGCCTATGTATGCTAGGCAAGTGCTCCCCACTGAGCCACATATGCAGCCCTAATGGTTGAATATGTGAGGAAGAAATCATAAGGTGAGATAGAGGAAGCAAGGAGCCAGGCTCCTCTTTTTATAACCATCTGCTTTTGAGGGAAGTAATACATCCCTACCAGACTCAACCCACTGATGCAAATCATTGTTAGGGTGATGATTCATTCATGAGGGTGGAGTCCTTGTGATCTAAATTTCTTCCACTAGGATCTACTTTTTTTTTTTTTAATACATTTTATTCAGATAGCTGCTGATCACACATGGTCCAAGAACACTCAAATAATGTATTGGATATAATGAAATACTAAAGATTTGTCTTCAAACATAGCTAACTCTGCCATGGTTGCCTATGATCTCTCTGATATAAAACCACATTCATACTATTCAGCACAGCTTTCTTAACTGTGAGCTGTTTGAAGCTACCAGTTTGAATACTTATTCACCAATTTTTTAGGCTCTGATAGCTGTAGGGATCTCAACAGTAATTGGAGGAACCAGCTCAAGCTTGACATAATGCCACAATGTGACCTGATGAGGCTTTGAGTAAGTCTCAGCAGTTTTTACCAGCACTGTGTCCTTTTCCACAAGGTTACAGACAAACAGGGCCAATATTCTAGGATGGGGAAAAAAAAAAGACAAGGGTCTTATTCTTGCATGTGAATTCCCAGTTTTCCCAGCAGCATTTATTGAAAAGGCTCTCTCCTCCTCATTGAATGGTCTTGGCACCCTTGTCAGAAATCATTTATAAGCAGCAGTGGTGGACTATAATAAACAGCAGATCTGTGACAGCAGTGGTGGACTATAACAAACAGCAGATTTGTGACAGCAAAGAAGTTAATGATAATTAAAGAGGGGGAAAGGCAGTGTTATTAGACAATTTGATACTAAGATTCTTGAAAGCTATATCTGCTGTATACTGTATCATTTTGTATCACTTCAGAGTGCTTTCCTTTCCAAGTAATGCAATACACAACTTGATGTCTCAATTAAGAGGATTTATTAGCTCATATAACTGAAAAAAAAGAGATAGGTCAGACTTTAGGTGCTTAATAGAAATATTGATGATGTCATCAAGTCTTGGCTTTGTTTTTCTGCAATTCTCAGTCTGTCTACCTTTAAGCTAAGACCTTGATAGTTCCAAGTGCTGATTTTACTAACATGAACCCTATGCTGACTTTGAAGAATTGAAGTTAGAGTTTGCTTCTCTAGAACCATGTAGATCCCTTAAAAAGAAATCAAGGCTTTAAAGAAAGGGAGCAAGAAATTATGAGAACACAATCTTGAATTTAAATTGGGCAAATAATCCTTTATTTGTTAATAGTCCACAAAGACATTAATTATAATTAATATTTATTGAGAACTTCTTATTTATCAGGCACTATTCTAGGTTATAGCCTTATAATAGCTCGTGGAGCTAATGCAGCAGAAGGAGACCTAGAACAAATAAATTAAAAAGATAATTTTAGACAATAGTAAATATTCTTAAAAAAAAAAAAAAAAAAAAAAAAAAACACTAGCTGGGAAGAGAGTCAGACAAGGCCTCTTTGAGGAAAGTTTCTATTTGTGCCAGAACCTGTGTGATGAGAAGTGTGCAAGGACCAAACTTCACACAGTGTTCTGCATAGAACCAGCAGGGAAGGCACTGAGATGGGAAACATGTTGGAATATTAGAAGACTAGAAATAGAACCAGAATGTCTAGTGCACAGTGAATAAGTGAGAGAAGGGATGAGGAGAGATGAGAAATGGGCATAACCTAGGTGTGGTAAGGAATAAGAATTATTTTTTTTAAGCAGGCGTATGAACTAATATGATTCTCTCATAGGCAAGTTATGATATACTGGTGTAGCCTGCATAAGAGGTTAGAAAAATATATATTTTAAGAATTCCATTTAAAAAAAAATAACTAAGCCAGGTATGGTAATACATGCCTATAATCCTAGCGGTTTGGGAGTCTGAGTAGGTGTATCCCAAGTTTAAGGTTAGCCTAAGCAACTTAGTGAGACTCTATCTCAAAAGCAAAAAATAAAGAAGGCTAGGGAATGTGGCTTAGTGGTTAAGTGACTGTGGGTTTAATCCCTGGTACCAAAATAAATATATATATATATGTGTGTGTGTGTGTATATATATATATATATATATATATATATATATATATATATATATATATATATATATATATATAAAATCACTAAGCTTTATTGAACCTATTTTCTCCTGGGCAGTTCTTTTTTGTTGTTGTTGTTTTGTTTTGTTTTTACAAATCGCTGTTACTGTGTAGAAATTCTGGTGTACATGACCTTGACTCATTTATGTTAGATGTTCAAAATTAGTGTACAGAATTCACAAGATATTTTAAATGTGTCTTTTTTTTTTTTTTTTAGGCAACATTGAATATCATTCATAATGTTGTTCTCTCAGTTCTTGACAAAAACCAAAGGACTCGAGAATTGGAGGAGATTTCACAGCAGAAAAATGCTGCAAAAGATAATTCGCTGGATACAGAAGTGGCTTATTTAATCCATGAAGGCATGTTTATAAGTGATGCATTCAGTGAGGGCGAATTAGCACCTATAGTAGTTGACACTACCTCGCAAAGAAATGCATCTCCAAATAGTGAGCCCTGCAGCAGTGATTCAGTGTCTGAACCAGAATGTACTACTGATTCTTCGTCTAGCAAAGAGCAGACATCATCATCTGCTACTCCAGGAGGTGTGGATATTATGTGAGTATAGTGGTTGTTGCCAAATTGGCAAGATTTTTATTAAATAATTTTATTAATGGTTTCAGTAAGATTGAATATTCATTTTATTAAAAAAAAACCGTAAACTTTCATCTTGGAATTTATCAAAAATATATTAATTTTATTAAACATTCTCTTTGAAAATAGAAGAAAGGTACAGAGGTGAGATTTGAAGATAATGGAAAAATTATATGATTTTTAAGGCAGGAAAGAAACTTTAATTTATTAAATTATTTAATTGAATGCCCTTATTTCAGTGATATGGCTACTGATGCCCTGAGAACTTTGTCACTAGTGTCAGAATTTGACCTGAACCTAGTTCTGTATTGCTTTGTTCATTTTCTTTCTTTCTTTTTTTTTTTTTTTTAATATTTAATTATTTTAGTTTTAGGTGAACACAATATCTTTATTTTTTTTTTAGTGTGGTGCTGAGGGTTGAACCCAGTGCCTCACACATGCTAGGCGAGCACTCTACCACTTGAGCCACAATCCCAGCCCTCTTTGTTTTTCTCACCTTTGTATTTTATGTATAGCAAAGATCTATTGATACACAACTTTTGGTTTTTCAAAGACATGAATTTCTAAGTGTACCATGCTTTTTAAACATTATTTTTTAAAAGCTTATTTTGAAGTTCACATTTACAGACAAGTTGTCATGATAGTACAAAAACACTCTCATATATCCATTTTACAGATTGCCCAATTGTTAATTTATCACATTGCCTTCTGTTTCCTTCCTTTTAAAAAAAATATTTTTTTCATAGTTGTAGACAGATAGAATGCCTTTATTTTATTTGTTTATTTTTACATGGTGCTGAGGATTGAACCCAGTACCTCAGCATGCTGGGCAAGCACGCTGCCACTGAGCTACAGCCCCAGCCCTGTCTCCCTCCTTTTTTCTTTCACTCCCCTCTCCCTGTCTCTCATGTTAATGTTTTTCTGAATCATTTGACAGGAGGTTGTAGGCATGATGCCCTGTTATCTCAGATATTACAGTATGTACTTCCAGAATACAAGAGTACTCTCTACATAATCATACTATACCAATTAAATATAAGAAAACAGTGATGAATTATTACCATATAATCCATAGACCACATTCAAAGCTCATGAGGTATTCCAGTAATTTCTGGTATCTAAAAGACAAAACAAAGCCAATAAAATTTTGTGGCCTAAGAGGTTTGAATTTAGATTTTGTTAGGAATAATAAGACTTTGTACTTTTGCTAATCTTTACATAATCAACCTGTGCTCTAGGAGTTTATGGAAGTCATAGTTACAGTATTAAGCCAACTATAACACCACTTCCTACCAAAACAACTCCTGAACTATGTGTAAATATATATATATTCATTTTTGGCTAATATTTTTATATTTATAAAAGGAAGGGTATAGCCTAAAATTGCTATTCAAAGAGAGATAAAAATGTAATAGGGAATTTTACTTAAATAGTAAACAATTTTATTTCTGTCATTTAACATTTCAGAGATAGGGGAGCCTCACTTGAAAAGGCAGCTTTCCTTCTGCAGCATGTAGCTTCCATTTGTGTCTAAGGCTATATTCTAGCTTTTTCCCTATCCCCTGCGATTGAGAATTGAACCTAAGGCCACATCGCCATCCCACCCCTATTTTTTTTTGTACCGGGGATTGAACTCAAGGGCACTTGACCACTGAGCCACATCCCCAGCCCTATTTTGTATTTTATTTAGAGACAGGATCTCACTGAGTTGCTTAGTGCCTCGCTTTTGCTGAGGCTGGTTTTGAACTCTAAAGTCTCCTTCCTCAGCCTCCAGAGCCACTGGGATTACTGGCTTGTGCCACCATGCTCATTCCCATCCCATTTTAAATTTTATTTTGAGACAAGTGAGTTTTGCTAAGTTTTCAGGAGGATCAAATTTGGGACCCACCTGCCTTAGCCTCCCAAGTAGCTGGGATTACAGATGTGCATCACTACTTCTGATGCTGTTTCAGCTTTTATCATCTCATCTACATCCCTAATAGCAAGAAGATAACAAAGAGTGGTACCCTCCTTTTTTCTTTTTTTAACTTTTTCATTGGAATATATGCAAAGATGAGAAAATGCAACAATTAATGTGTTCATCTCAAATAATTATCACAAAATTAAAACATTGATGTAATGACCACTCAGGTCAAGAAATAGAATATTCTCAACTCTTGGGGCTGGGGTTTTGGCTCAGTGGTAGAGTGCTTGCCTAGCACATGTGGGGTGCTGGGTTCGAGCCTCAGTACCATATAAAAATAAAATAAAGGTATTGTGTCTAACTACAACTAAAAACCAAAATATTGGGGGAAAAAAAGAATGTTCTCAACTCTTCAGAAAAATCCATTGACACACTATGCTCCTGCTTCAAAGAAACCTTTAATAAAATTATTGGCTTTTCTAATTTTTAAACTTTATATAAGTGGAAGGGAATCATATATATGATAGTCTTTTGTGTCTGTTTTTTTAATTCAACATTGTGTTTGTGATATTTGTCCTTTTTTTTTTTTTTTTTTGCTCTTTTTAAGAGCACAACCCCCAATTTGAACTTATTACTTTCACTTCCATCCTAGAGGCCAGAAGGTTATCACATAACTATATGTAGCTGGAAGGGAGGCTTGAGCTTGTTGTTGGGTCTTTAACTTGTTGACTGTTTGTCCTGCTTAAACTCTTTATTATTGCAGAAGAGAGAACGAATGCTAAAATATAAATAGCAGTCTGCCATAGTTGAATTTGAGGTTCTTTTAAACCAGATGTAGTCTCATAGTATTTATTCCCTCCCGCTTATCTTCATTGTGGCTTACCTTATACTTAGAACATTCTCTGGCTTTCTCCACTCATACGTTACCCCAGAACGAAAGATAGATTCTGTAGATAGTTTCTTCTATGTTCAACAGGCACATGAATGTCTGGGAACATTTGCCCCAGAGGGGCAAAGAATTAATTGAATATGTGTATACCTAACTAGTGTTTTCATACAAACTATTTCTGACAATTATTCAGTACTTTTGTAGTATAATATATGTATATGTATGTACGTAACTAGTGTTTTCATCAAAACTATTTGAATATATACACACACACACACACATTTTTTTTTGGTATGTGTGTGTGTGTGTGTGTGTGTGTACTGGGGATTGAACTCAGGAGCACTCAACCACTAACTAAGCCAGCCAGATTCCCAGCCCTATTTTTGTGTTTTATTTAGAGACAGGGTTTCACTGAGTTGCTTAGCACCTTGCCTTTGCTGAGGCTGGCTTTATGAACTCATAATCCTCCTTCCTCAGTCTCTGGAGCCACTGGGATTATGGGCATGTGTCACTGCGCCCACCTTATTTCTATTATTCAATACTTTTGTAGTATAAAATTGTAGTGGATGTAGAATGTGTAAACATGATGTCTGATATTTTAACTTTATTAGTAGATTTTCCTATATATGAATATAATTTTCAATTTTCTAAGTTTATTGCAGCGCAAACTAGGACACAGAAGAGTAAATACTCTTCCAGGCAGAAATAGGAAAGGAAAATTGTGGAAATGATTAGAGTTGTAGAGTTTTAAGTTTTTTTTTTAAATTAATGTAAAAATTTTTAAGTTTTCATTTTTAATTGTAATAAAAATGAAATTTACTATATTAATAATTTCTAAGTGTACAATTCAGTAGTGTTAAATATGTTCACATTGTGAAATCAATCTCCAAAACTTGAATTTCATCTTGTAGAACTGAAACTGTACGCAATAACAACTCTCCATTCTGTCTCTCCCCAGCCACTGGCGACCACCACTACTTTTTGTCTTTATGAATTTAAACATTGTAGTTCCTGCATAAAAGTAGAATCATACTGGTTTTTTGTAACCAGCTTATTTTATGTAGCATAATGTCCTGAGAGTTCATCCATGTGTCTTATATGTCAGAATTTCCTTCCTTTAAGGCTGAATAATATTCCATTATATGAATTTGCCACATTTTGTTTATTCATTCATATGTCAGCACTTTGTTTACTTCTACGTCTTAGGTATTTTGGATAGTTCTGCTATGAACTTGGGTGTGCAAATGTATGTTTGAGATCTTTTGGATATACATTTAGAAGTGGAAATCCTGCATTATGTTTGGATTTGTTTGTTGCTTTTTTCCAGTGATATGAAAGTTAGGCAATTAAACTTACAAAATAAAAAGAAATCTTTTGAAAAGCAAAATTATAGCTAATTAAAAAAAAAATTTAAAACTTTTCCTGGGGCTGGGGCTGTAGCTCAGTGGTAGAGTGCTTGCCTAGCATGTGTGAGACACTGGGTTGGATCCTCAGTACCACATTTTAAAAAATAAGTAAATAAAATAAAGGTATGCTGTCCATCTATAACTATTTAAAAAAAAAGTTTCCAGCTTTTTCTATTTGTCATCTTACTTTTAAAAGACTTTGTTTGTTAATATTTTTTTTTAAATTGTCAGTGGACTTTATTTTATTTATTTATATGCAGTGTGAGAATTGAACCCAGTGCCACAAACATGCTAGGCAAGAGCTGTACCGCTGAGCCACAACCCTTCTACCCCTGAGACACAACCCCAGCCCTCACTTGGTTTTATTTGCTGTTTTCCATTTATATCTTTGTGAATTGGTAGCATACAGCCAAGACTTCAAAATTCTTTAATCATTCTGTTTCATGGGCAAATTTTAGTAATCTTTACAGAACATGAAACTTTAATACTAAATTTGAGGTTTAAGTAGACATTTCTGAGGGACCTAGTATTGAAATACTACTAGACGGTTTATACAGAAATAAATGTTATAGTAGAGAAAGTATAGTCAATTAGATATGGACTAATTCTGGATCCCAGTCCTACTCTTTGTAACCAGTGACCTTAGATAAACTACTTAAGCTTTCTAAAATTCAGTGTTCTCATCTGTAAATAGATATCTACCTGCCTCAGAGTGAGGGAATTAAACAATACACTATTCCTGAGAATACTTTAAGAATATCAATCTGTTATTTTAAAGCATTAGTAAATGAACATAGTGATATTGAAAATTTGAAGGATAGTAAGTAATAACTTACCATAATACCTTAACCTAGTTCATATACATACATCAGAGCCTCTTTGAAAATTGTTGTAACTTAGAATGGGAGAAAAACAGTAAGACATTTTACTTGGCTCATGGTAAAAGTAAACTGAACTGTTAAAATGAAATCATTGGTCTTTATGTGTATATTCCTAGGGGAAAATGCTTAAAAACCTGATCATACATTTCCCTTCAAAATTGAAAAATATGTTTTACCTCTTATAAATTGTATTCCCTCCAAGTTCCTAGCAGTAAATTCAGTAATGCTCAGTCATTAAGTAAATACGAGTTAATATTAAGTAATTCATAATTTTGAATGAAAAGAGGGCCACTTGTCATGATATAACATTCCTTTCTTCTTCCTTCTGCTGTGTTATTCCTAAGTGCCTATGTACAACCCCTGTTCTGCAAAAACTACAGTCACAGCTACCACCTAGTACCTTAGCCAAACAAATTGTCTTGCTCTAATATGTGCAGATTTCCAATCAGGATATGAACTAAGTATTGAAAATACTACAAAAAAAATTATTGTAAGGCTTAGTTTAAATATATATTACACGTTGTATAATATATATGTATAATTAAATATATATTTAAATATATAATATATCTTATCATATATATTGTAATATATGTATAATATAGTTTACAACAATAAAATATATGACGTGATATATTTATAATATAATATATAATATACATATATTTAAATATATATTATCTGAGCATGATTAAAGATGTTCTATAATCATAAACTTCAAAGTTAAAATTTACTATTCAAGTTTTATTTTCTGAAGCATTGCTAAAATTGGATATATCACAAAATCTTCCTCAAATGTGAATTTTCAAGTGTTTATCCTTTTTTGTTGATTATATCACCTATGGAGAACTGTGTTAACAGTTTTACCTAAATCTCATTTTATCATTTTCAGGGTCAGTGAAGACATGAAATTAACTGACTTAGAGCTGGGGAAGCTGGCAAATAATATCCAAGAGTTATTGTATGGTGCCTCAGATATATGTCATGATCGAGCCGTCAAATTTCTCATGTCAAGAGCAAAGGTATTTTCATAATACTTTATATATTTTATATTTCTATGTAGGATAGTTAGGTTAGAGATCCAGAATTATGTCTTTGCTTATATCTGTATTTTCCCTGTAATGCATTTTATAATTTTAACAATAAAGTTAATGATATTGGTGTGTTGTAGTAAAGAAGTGCTAAGATGTAAAATAATTAAAGAAATAGGAAAAAGTATTTAAGTATTATTTTCAAATAAATAAAGGACTTACTATAAAATACAATACCTTAGTAATTAATATGAATGTAAGATGCTGTTTTATATATGCACGTGTATATATGTGGTCAAACAAAATTAAACTTCAGGATGGTGGAAAAATTTATACAATGATCTGAATTCATTTAAGTTACTGTATTAGTTACAAAGGAATCAATCAAATTCAAGACATCTTAAGCTTTTCATGTTCAGTTTTTAGATATGAAATATTGGGAAATTTCATTTAAAATGATAAGAAATTTTATTAATTACAAAAGTAATTAATATATAATTATATAATATATTATAGAAAAAGATAATTAATACTGAAATTTATTAAACTTAGTTGGTTTTATAGCTCACCCATATTTGGTTTTATATTAACTTCCATCGTGATTTTTGTTATTTTTTAAAATTTAGGATGGTTTTCTTGAGAAGTTAAATTCCACGGAATTCATTACACTTTCTAGATTAATGGAAACATTCATTTTAGAGACAGAACAGATCTGTGGAAGAAAAAGCATGTCATTACTTGGAGCACTTCAAAGCCAAGCTAATAAATTTGTAAATAGATTTCATGAAGAGAGAAAAACCAAGCTCAGGTATCATTACTGTGTAATTTTTTTCTTTGCAAAAACACAATGACATTTTAAAAATAAATTAATTGACTAGCCAAAATTTCTGCTTTTTTTTCAATTAAAGACAGATTATGGAGTTAAAATTTACCTTTTGACTTTTCAAAGTGGAGTTAGAATGCTTACTTATATAAAAGTGCCTATCTGGAAGATTGACTTTTTTCTTAACTCGAAGTTAAGTAAATTATGTTTCATCACTATTGGGTAGGCTAAGAGGTATAAAAGTATTGATACTGTTTATGAATGATTCCAATTAAAGTCTCCAGCACTTTTAAAATCTTTAAGTAGTCACTAAAATTGGAATGACACAGAGAAGATAAGCATGGCCCCTGTGCAAGGGTGACATGCGTATTCGTGAAGCACTCTATACATTTGTAGAAAATAACCTTATACAGATGGCGAGAGATGGACTACTCATTGGGAAGATATCAGAACAAGGCTTAATAGAAATCCTTGAAAAAGTAAGCCAACAAATAGAAAACAGCAGTTAAATTCAACAGAAGAAGAGTAATAGACTCTGTTGAAGATGATGATTCCTGGAACAATTCTAGTACAGAAATTAAGATATGTTTAAATGTTTACTTTGTTTATTGTCTTTATGCTTTTTTTAAAAAAATAAACTTGTTATGCAGAGTTAAACAAAAATCTTAGATATTCAGCTAAGCTCTACTTTCTTATCAACCAAGGAAGATGATATTGAAACATTATTAAAGTTTACTTTTCTTTCATCTTTTGAATAGCCTCCTCTTAGACAATGAGCGCTGGAAGCAAGCTGATGTTCCTGCAGAATTTCAGGATCTTGTTGATTCTATATCAGATGGAAAGATTGCTTTACCTGAAAAAAAATCAGGGGGTATGTGTTCTTCCACACACTTTCTTCCAATTTTTTATTATTTGTTTATTTTGTAAGAATGTTTAATGTTGCTTTAATTGAGAATACCTATTGAAAAACCTAGAACTAAAGCTTCCAATTAAGTATTTGACAGGAAAAGTATTTGTTTTAATTTATAATAACCATATGCTAGACCCTGGATGATGTGCTTTACATCCAGTGAACACTAATTAGCTTCCACTTTGTGTCATATGGAGCAAAGATAACAGTTATGATTCTATTTTAAAGACACTAAGTTTAATGAATAAAACCAAAAATATGTAACAATTGCATAACAAAAACCAAAATGTGAAGAACTATGGGAAAAGAAAAAAGAAGGACCAGAGAGATAGGAAGAAATTCATAAAAATAGAAGTAAAAAAATTAAAGGTTTAATTTAATTTTCTCATTGAACCCAGTGCCTCATGCATGGTAGGCAAGTGCTCTACCTCTGAGCCACAACCCCAGCCCCCACCTATATATTTCATTTTTAAGATTTCAACTTAGAAGTTATTCTATTTTCACAGTGTGACATTTCTTATTATTATGTAAACAATTGCATAACAAAACCCAAAATGTAAAGAACTATGAGAAAAGAAAAAAGAAGGACCAGAGAGATAGGAAAAAAATTGTCATTGATTATCAAATACCAGTTGGGTTTTAAAAGAAATAGATGGAATAATTAGGACATATGTTTGTTAAAATGGCGTCATCTGATAATGTAAATTGATTTTTTATGCATTCTGAAATTATGAACTTGAATACATTTAATGGAGAAGCCAATTGCATTATTTCAAATTTTTATGCATGTTTAATTAAAGTTTAGTGTTTTTACATAGCCATATTTTCAAATTCACATTTGCATAAAATACAACTTTGCTACAAGAGACTGAATAAAATACAGTTAGTGACCATTGATTTGACGTGTAGAAGAAAGTTTACAGTATCAATAATTGAGTGGAGTGATAGTGTCAGTGTGCAGTTCATTACTAAGGGAGGCTAGACAAATGTAGCCCACTTTATCAATAAAGTTTATTTGTGAAGGAAAAGTGGGTGATGAAGTGGTAGCTAGAGAGATTGAGAAATTAGATTGTTTCCTTAATCCACTCAAAGAGTTGAGAGAAGAGATTTTGTTTGTTTGTTTTGGGTCAGAGGAAGCTGAATTATATTTTCATGCCTAACAGAAATAAGAAGCAGCTAGAATTGAATCCAGAGTTCAAGAGAAAGCCTATCTCTTACCATTATGACATGAGGGAAGGGATTAAGGACTGGTTATAGATAGATTCATTCATATAGGACAGAGAGAAGAATAGAATCGAAGGAATTATGTAAATTTCTCTTAATATTTTAAATATGTAAATTTCTGTGACTGTTTTAAATGGGTAACTATGTCAGGTTGCAATTTTTAACTGATTATATGATACTAGCAAAACAAAGCCTTCATAACTTATCACTCATCTAGTCTTGCAAGCTGTATTTTATTGATAACCTATTATGTGAGGTGCCATGCCAGACAGCTAGGACTTGTTTTCTTTCTCTGAAAGCTCAGTCTTTGAAGTCTACTATTATACAAACAGAATGATTTTTTAAATTAAAATATTTTTTTAAATGTGGAATGATTGAATTAAATGTTTTCCTACAAAGTGAACTATTTTCAATCCCTCTTTGTAGGATTCTGGTAGTATGAGGTTTCTCTTAAATACTTTTCTTCTTCCTCAGCCTTTACCCTTTTATGAATAATATTTTAGTAGTTCTTATTAAGATAAAGATCCTGGGTTATTATTTATCCACCATATATTTATTGAATCATTAGGGTGCGGCTAGCATTGGGGAAATGAAGTTAGTGAATAGCAACTATACTGATTTTTTTTTTTTAATATTTACTTTTTAGTTGTAATTGGACACAATACCTTTATTTTATTTATTTATTTTTATGTGTTGCTGAAGATCGAACCCAGGGCCTCGCACGTGCTAGGCAAATGCTCTACTGCTGCCAAACACACACACACACCCATACACCCCGCCATTGAGTTTTTATTTGGTGCTAGACACCGTTCTAAGTACTTTACATGTATCACATCATTATCATTTACAGGTCCATGATCTAGATGCTGTTAATATCATCACCTAATAAATATGGAAACTGAGGCAAAAGGGCTTAGGTAACTTAGAGTTACATAGCTAGGAGGTAGTAGAGTAGGATTCATATTCAGGTATACTGACTGACATTTGGGTTCTTGCTCTTACCTACATCACTGTGTTCCTTCTTTGTAATATAGAGAGCTGGTTCCGAAACAGTCCTTACTCTAAAAAAATTTATAATCCAAAGGACATAATGAATTGTGTGTAGAAATTTTACCACAATGGATTTCTTTTCATGAAAGAAAAGAGGTAGTAGACTTTTTTGTCCAATAGTTCAAAGGGACTTGAATCTTAGGGAAGAAATGATTTGACTGTAGCAGTTAATTCATTTGTCTGATCAAGGATGATAATCCAGTCTCCTGTTCTTTTCACCACAAAATGCTGAATTTTGTTACATAATAATAAGAAATGTCATACTATGAAAACAGAATAACTTCTAAGTTGAAATCTTAAAAATGAAATATATAGGTGGGGGCTAGGGTTGTGGCTCAGAGGTAGAGCACTTGCCTACCATGCATGAGGCACTGGGTTCAATCCTCAGGACCACATAAAAATAAAGATATTGTTATAACTAAAAATAAATATTTTAAAAAAATAAAATTAAATAAATAAATATATAGGTGGGTACAGTGGTGCATACCTACAATCCCAGTGGTTCAGGAGGCTGAGGCAAGAGGATCTCAAGTATGAGACCTGCCTCAGCAACTTAGTGAGACACTGTCTCAAAATTTAAAAAGACTGGGGATGTAGCTCAGTGCTAAAGTGATCCTGGGTTCAATTAGTACCAGAAAGGAAAGGAAAGGAAAAAAAAGATAAAATACAGAAAATACATAATCTGTCCATTAAATTTAGAAATTAACTCATATTTTATGTATGTATGTATGTATGTTGTAGTTGGACACAATATTTTATTTATTTATTTTTAATAAATGCTGAGGATCGAGAACCCAGGGCTTCACGTGCCAGGGCACATGCTAGGCGAGTGCTCTGCTGCTGAACCACAACCCCAGCCTAACTAACTCATATTCTAATAATGATAACGACAGTAATAAAGACAGCAAGTCAAAAAGCTAGTTCTGCCTTTCCAAACTAATAATAATTTTGTTTTAAGTACCATGTGCCAGGCCTAGAGGGTTGGCAGTTTATAATCTTTAACAACAATCATTAGCAGCAATCCTGAAGTATTTCATGGATACAGATTGAGTCTCAGAGAAGTTATTGACTTAAGGTAATTGATAATTGGTAATACCCAGACTAAAATCAAATCTAACTCCAAACCCAAAGTACTTTATTTACTCTACCAAATTGCTTCTGAAGAAGTAGATATTTGTTTCCAGAAATGAGATAGTTTCAGGCCTGAAAACAGAATTATTGTTTTTAGTGGTTTTCTCCAGTATTTTGTTTCACCATATACATACCCCTTCTTGTTTATTTGATTTCCTCTTTTACCTACAGAAGAAAGAAAACCAGCTGAAGTTCTCATTGTTGAGGGACAACAGTATGCTGTTGTTGGGTGAGTAGTATATTTGTCTTTATTAGTTGAGTCGATTATTTGAAATATAAGTCTTCTATTTTCCTCTTGAAGTGAATAAGGAATTTTGGATTAACAATTTTAAATCCTAATGAAGTATTTAAAGGAAATTTTATGGATTCCTTTTTATTTTCTGTATTCTATGTGTGCTTTATCACTGGGTTAATAAAAGAGGCCTTGATTTTTCTCATGTAATAAGAAATGTAGACAGCCATGAATGATGTAGTGGCTCTTTGAATTTATTACCATCATAGGTTCTTGCCATCTTCTTTTCTTATGCTTTCTTAGTCTGTAGTATAGCATGAAGTAGTTTAAATCATGGCTTCTGGAGCCTTCAAAATGTTAAAACTGGTAATGCTGTAAATCATTTAGCACAGTTCTTTTTGTTTTGGTTTGGTTTTAATACCAGGGATTGAACCCAAGGGCGCTTAACCACTGAGCTACATCCCCAGCTTTTGTTTATATTTTATTTTGAGACAGGGTCTTGCTGAGTTGCTTAGGGTTTCGTTAAGTTGCCGAGCCTGGTTTTGAACTTGTGATTTCTTCTGCATCAGACTCCTGAGCCATTGGGATTACAGTTATGTGCCACCATGTGTGACCCATTTTAGCACAGTTCTAATATATTGGTGGTTGTTTTTCATAATTCCAGTTGTTAGATCTTTTACTTTTTTATTAATAAACATCTCTAATTCAAGGTAACAAAGAAATATACAAATTCCAGCATTATGTTTGGCATGACAGGCCTTTTTAAAATTGGTAATTAAATATTATCTTCTTACCCATTTAAAAAATTTTTATATTCTTTTTATTTATTTTTTTAGTTGTAGATGGACCCAATATCTTTATTTTTTTATTATTATTTTTTTATATGGTGCTGAGGATGGAAACCAGGGTCTCACACCTGCGAGGCAAGTGTTGTACCACTAACCTACAGCCCCAGCCCTATTTTCATATTCTTTAATAGCACTTTATAGTTTTAAGTATTTTCATATATCTGATCTCATTTGATCTTTATCATCACTTAGTGAAATAGACATGTCAGAGATTGTTGTTTCCTTTCTGAGTTACAAGAATTGAAGCTTAGAAGGTTAAGTGATTAACAAGGTGGCCCAAATAAAGTCAGAATTAGAATTTAGATCTAACTCCCAATATCTAGACCATCATTCACTTTCCTTCTTTGCTTCTTGTCACCAAGAGTTTTCTGAAATAGCTGCCCTTTCCGGGAAGAAAGGACCTCTATGAGCCTTATCATGGAACTTACTATAGTATAGTTAAATTATTCCTTTATGTGTATGTCTCCTTGGTAAGACTGAATTCTGCAAAGGTAGGCGATCATGTCTTACCGTTATTATTTTTCTTGGCACTATAGTAAGCTCTCAAAAAGCATGTACAGAGTTAATATGGGTTTGTTTGTTTTTTAATCCATATTTCAATCTCTAAAAATACACAAATTCCAAACTAAAGCCTCATTTCCTTTATCCTCAGGAGTCCTTCCTTGTTTCCAATAGAGCTAAGCTTTGTTCAACCCTCTGTAATCTCATCTCTTTTCTCTCCTTTAACTTTCCTCCTTTATCTGGTTGCACTTCATGTGCTTGATGGAAATGGTCCCTCTCTCTGGCTCTGACTTTTCAGGCAGAGTGTATTGCCAAAAAACTGAACTACCTGAATAAAGGTGGGTTATTATGTTTTCTGGGAGAAGATTATGAAAAATGTGCAGTGAACTCATGCCAAATAGAGCAGGCTCTAGTTAAGCTATATAGAGCCTAGGTGCTATCTTTTTTTCTGTGCAGTACTGGGAATTGAAACCAGGGCCCCATACATTCTAGGCAAGTGCTCTACCACTGAGCTACATTCAAAGCTTTTTTTCATTTCTTATTTTGAGATGGAGTCTCTCAGAGTTGCCCCAGCTTGCCTTAAACTTCTGCCTCAGCCCCTCAAGAGACTGGGATTACTGGTGTGCTCTACCATCCCAGTTTAAATGTTATCTTTCTTGATTCAGTGGTTCCTGATATGCTTTACTGAGTACAGCCCCAGCCCTAGATTCTTTGTACTTTTATAAAGTATTATTTTATGTGGATTTTTCATTTCTGAGCATTTCGGTGAACTTAGATATTCTATAATAAATGGTTCTTTTTCTCTTAATTTTAGTCTCATTTAATCTTCCAGTAGTGTGTCTTTTTAGCTTGTTCTATAATGAGCTGGTAATTTTTCATTTTTGGAGAATCTTTTGACCTATGAATAAACTTCTTACGTAATATGTTCCTTAGATGCTGTTATGGCTTCTTTTTCATTTTCATCTCACTAAGAAACTCTGGACTAGGTTCCCTTCATCAATTCAGTACTTATGATTGAAACCTGCTACACAATTAATCAGAAATGCTGGCTAGTCTTTTTGTCGTTGTTTTGGAATTGGCCAAAGAATAGAATACTTCCCTTATTGAAGAGACTTTCTTAATAAGAATGCCATAAACCAAGTACTATGCTTACAGTACAAAATCTGACAAGCCACTTATTCTCAGTGTCATGTAAGTACTGATTCTGTAATTACACAAATCCTTAAATCTTCCACTCTAAGTGCTTCTTTTGGTCTACATTAGACCAGAACCTGTTGCACTTTTAGGCGAAACACATAATTTAGCAGTTATCAAAATCAACATATCAGGCTGGGGATGTGACTCAAGCTTGCCTGGCATGCGTGCGGCCCGGGTTCGATCCTCAGCACCACATACAAAACAAAGATGTTGTGTCCGCCGAAAGCTAAAAAATAAATATTAAAAAATTCTCATTCTCTCTCTTTAAAAAAAAAATAGCATATCCTCAGAGATGCATCAAACTAATAAGTAATTTGATTTTTTTATATGCCAAATCAGTTTAAATTTTTTTGTTTTGATTGCCTTTGGGACATTTTCTTTTCTTATAGAACTGTATTGCTGTTAATAAGAATTATCCTTGAATATTGCCAGTGTGTGGATAACATCCCATCTGTTACTACTGACATGCTTACTCGTCTGTCAGATTTGTTGAAGGTGTGTATGATTTTACCTTTTTATGGAAATATACTTAAAAGAATTAACCCATTAGGATATAACTAACCTTTCAACTCTAAGACATTTCAAGGTCAAGTTATCTTTAAGACATTAATTTTGTGTTATTTAATTGTGGTTGCATCACATGTTACTAGAGAAAGGGCTTCCTGCTTCCTTCTCACTCTACATTTAGTGATTCCTCATTACACTCATAGAGTTGTTAATGACATTGGAGACAGGAGATGATTTGTTCGTTAGGTGCTGAACATGACTGAGGCCACTTAGGTCAAAAAACCTGGACTGGTTTCAAATGTGCATGGAAGGAATTCACTGAACATTACAAAATTCATCTCACTAAGGTTAGAGATTTTTCTTACATCATTCTTTCAGAACAATTGATGTAAAATGAAAATGTGATAATTTTATTCAGCCATTTCATATTGACAGATATTTTTAATTGTTAGAATATAGGAAAAGCTTTATTTTTTTTCAAACCTTTATTCTATCAATATTGCCCTGAACTTGAATTTTAGTCAAGAAATATTTTTACTCTTTTGAAAACAGGATGTTTGAATAAGAATGCTGAAACTAAATTAGTATTATGAATGGGAACTAAAGATAAGTTTCTGAAAACTTTTAGAATTTCAATTTTTTATTTATCAAAAGTAAATATTGTCATTTAGAATTCCCCTCTTCCTTTTTTTTTTTTTTTTTTTCATTATTACATAAATAGATCCTAACTGCTTCTACTAGAAAATTCATTTGGTCCTTGAATGAGAGGAAAAAGGAATGTATTTTTAGGATAGTTAACACATCATCAGGATATAAAAGAATGGCTTTTAATATATCGTTGAGTTTGGGTTTTTTTGTTTTTTGTTTTTTTTTCCCCCTTCTTCCTTTCTTAGTACTTCAATTCAAGAAGTTGCCAGTTAGTTCTTGGAGCTGGTGCATTGCAAGTTGTTGGACTAAAAACAATAACTACAAAAAATTTGGGTATGGATTCTTGTATTTCATTCAAATGTTAAGGTATTATAATGATGTAATTCTTCTTACCCTGTTTTTATCATACCTGATAGTTTCATGGCTCTAACCAAAGGCTATAAAAGTGGCAAATGCTACTTTATTCTCTTTTGTGTTGTTATAATTGAAAAACGAATCTGGGGAAATTATATAAGGAATTTCCACTCTTAACTCTTAATAAATTATTTAGAAGCTGCTTCACTCTGGAAAATGTTAAATAATATGTAATATATTTAAGAAGTACTTTGGGGTGAAAGGTATCTGAATGTCAGAAGAGAATAATTGTCTTGTTAGTGTCCTCATACTTGTAATGCTAGCAACTCAAGTCCATTAAGAAAACAGCATATTCATTGAATTATTTAGCACTAAATTATTTTCTTAAAAATGAAATGGGTTACCTTTACCATGGTGCTCTTCATTTATGAAATAAACTGGGGTTCTTTATGAAATTAATGGACATTTTAAATTTAATTGCCTATGTAATTAAAATCAACAATTTTTGTTTCTCCATTATGTACCCATTCCCTGAATCTTTAGCTCTTTCTTCACGATGTTTGCAGTTAATTGTGCACTACATTCCTGTGATCCGGGCTCATTTTGAAGCTCGACTACCACCTAAGCAATATAACATGCTTAGGCATTTTGATCATATCACTAAGGTATTTTTCATGTATTTTCTATTGAAGTTCATAAATTTAATTCCTTAATTGTTAAATATTTTTGTATGTGTCTCAGGAACTATAAAATACAATATCATTTCTCATTTCAGGATTACCATGACCACATTGCTGAAATATCAGCTAAACTTGTAGCGATAATGGATAGCTTATTTGACAAGCTGTTATCGAAGGTAATAATTTATGAAAATCATTAGGCTCTGCTTAAAAGTATTGTGACTATTCATTTTATAGAGGATCCTTTATGTTATACATAAGTTAAAATGTGATACTAGAATCTAAATTTTTAAAAGATATATACCAACTGGCAGAATTTATAAACAGTTTTTAAGGAAAATGTGTCCATCTTCTTTGACACCAAAGTGGTCACAGACATCTTAACAAATCAACTCCCCCAGAGTTTAGAAAACAACTCAATAAAATGTCAATTTTATATTCATCTTCTAAAGGCCAGAGGTGGGAGAGAGTAAGGGAGATAATTCCTTCATAGAAGCATTTTTATGTTGGCTGCATCAACAAATGTATACCTTCTTCAAAACAAACAATTTGAAAGCCTTCCAAAGACAGAATTGTAAGGACAAGAATCCATAAGAAAAAAAGGAAATTTATTTGAAATAAAGTATGTGACTTTATTTTCCAAGCTGAAAAATGCTCTAAGAGTCTGAGGTGCTTTATTGTTTCTCTCAGAGACAATTCTAGGGTCTGTTTCTTTTCATTCCCATAGGTCATTAAATAAAGTGATGTTCTATAAGAAATACTGGAAGGGTATCTTCCAAAAATGTTATTTAATCAGCCCCACTCACTTTTGCCCTATCCTTTACTCTTTGCTTTTCCTATATTCTTCAATGCATATCTTTGGGGGAAAGAAGAAATTTTGTAACTTGGATGTTTGAAGGTTTATTTAGTGTCGACTTTATGCCCAAGATCATACTTAGAATAAACCTTACTGAGCAAGGAACTTTGATTTGCTTTTTCTTCTACTTACATCTTTTTTTTTTATTGGTTGTTCAAAACATTACAAAGCTCTTGACATATCATATTTCATACATTTGATTCAAGTGGGTTGTGAACTCCCATTTTTACCCCGTATACAGATTGCAGAATCACATCCGTTACACATTCACGTTTTTACATATTGCCATACTAGTGACTGTTGTATTCTGCTACCTTTCCTATCCTCTACTATCCCCCCTCCCCTTCCCTCCCATCTTCTCTCTCTACCCCATCTACTGTAATTCATTTCTCTCCCTTATTTTCTACTTACATCTTTAACATTCTGAATTGTCAGGAACAGCAGGCATGTAAAAATCATAAAAGGGCAAGGTAAAGTGGCGTCCATTCACACATAGGCATGTGCTTAATCCTTTGAAAATGACAGTGAGAGAGAAGTACTTGGGAAACAATACTTTAGTTATTTACTAGGTCTTAAATTTTGTTCACAGGACACCTTTATATTTATGAAAGTAATAAGTCCCAAAGAGCTTTTTGTTGATCCAGTTTTCACATTTCATTGAGATATCATATTAAAAATTAAAGCTAAGAAAGCTTTTTTTTTTCCTTTTTCAAGAGTTGATGCCTTTATTTTTATTTATTTTTATGTCGTGCTGAGGTTCGAACCCAAGTGCCTCCTCACACATGCTAGGCAAGCACTCTACCACTGAGCCACAACCCCAGCCCTAAAGCTAAGAAATCTTAAAACACAATATACATATATATTTTCCATTAGTCTTCAGAATCATGATATCATAAGTCATCTAAAAACTGATGCAGTCATGAGGAAACAGGAGTAAAAAAAGATAAACGTTTTAGTGCTTTTATGAAAATGATTTTTCCCAGATTCTCTGAAAGGGTCTGTAACTCCTAAGAGTTCTCAGACCACAGTGTCTTTTCTTCGTGGGTTTCAAGTACAAGCTAAATTCAGAAGCAATTCAGTTCCACCAGTTTGCTTTTTGATATAAGTCTTCTGTGTAGCAAAATTCAGTAACACGCATCTGTCCTCAAGAAATTTACCATCTAACAAAACAGAGGACTGTAAACTGCTAACATTGTAGGATAAAGTAAATGTTAAATAGTGGAACTAATAGTAGGCTATGGATATAATGAAGCAAAACCAAACTTTGCCCATACTCTTATAATCCTGACTTTAATTTGTCATTTTGGTCATAGATGGGTTTTGAAAAAGAGTATGACTAGACTTTGTGACTTAATGAACTTTGTGTTCGTATTCACCTATATTTAACAGTTATGAGTATTTTAGAATTTTTTACTAAAATTTTTTACTTCATTCCTAAATTCTTAAGTAAAAGAATTTTAAAACTAGGAACAGATCTCTTCTAATAATCACACATTAATATCTAAGGAAATTAATAGTCTTCCAATATTATCTAACATCTTTTCTCATATTTGAAACTTCTAATTGTTCCAAAATATCTTTTCCCAATAATTTGTTTCAACAAAGACTTCTATGTGTTTACTTATTGCATTTGGTTAAGTCCCTTAAGTTTTCTATAAACTAGAATATTCCCCTCCCCTTTTGTCTTTTGTTTTTATTTTGTTTTTAGTATCATTGACTTGAAGAATGTTGTCTGTCTTTATAACACAGTGTTCTCTCTACTGTCTTTCCCATTGATGACTTCTGTTACCTGGCATGCACAATTTCCTTATATTAACAAGTCTCTCCTTGCCATTCTCTGTCCTGTTTGCTTTCATGTGTTTCCCAGGAGTTTAATCCTGTGTTTAATTCATACCAAAATAACAAGACAGGGTTTGGTTTGGGTTTACCTTTCATTTTTTAGCTTTTATTTTCTTTATAATTTTGGGAGCAATGGCACAGTATAAAATATAGACTGATCCTAAAAAGGGTATTTTTGCTTGGATAGAGTGAGACATTAATATGTGTAGTAGCAGCTAGATTAATATCTTAGCCACAGCCACCACTCATTCACATTCATTTAGTAAGTTACGTACAAACCATCGCATTAGATGACAGAGGGCTAACACAAAGGTGAATATCTTGTTGGGATAGCAAAATATCTAGCAGGGGAAGTATATCAATAATGACAAGAAGTAGAATATGTATTAATATTCCTTAAGAAGGAATTGTTTTAATGCATTGGAGCATTTAATACTTTAAAAGAGATGGTTGCCAATTGGAGAGGAAGATATGAGATAGTTTTATAGATGTAGTATGCATATAAATTTTGCTTTTAAAGATAAGATTAGGGCATATAAAGTTGAGGTGAAGATATCTCTGAGAAAAAGCCTGAGAAAACATGTTGTTAGAAATCACAAGGAAGTAATTTAGATTCAGGTAGACCTAAATTCAGATCCCATGTATGTTACACATTAGCCATTGAAGGACCTTGGGCAAACTCTTATTTTTTTTTTTAAGCCTCCGTTTCCATTTCTAAATGGGAGTAATAGAGGTTACCTCATAAGGTTGTAATGGGGATTAATGAGATAATATATGTGGAATGCTTTTCTTTTATCATATATCTAACTATAAGCAAGTCCTAGTAAATATTGGCTGCTAATATTTTGCTATTGTTAATAACAAGGGTAGCAGTTCTATTTAGGGTGAATAGAAGGTAGCTCTGTTTAGGGTGCACTGGTGTGAGTAGAAGAGTGGGGGATATGTTGGGAAGATAGTGAAGATCAGTGGCTATCAGAAGAAAGCTAAGCAATTTAAATCAGGTTTATTGGTATAATTTACATTCAGTAAAATTTACCCTTTTTAAATACATGGTGTGATGACTTTAACAAATATATAAAGTAGTGGAACTACTACAATCAAGATAAAAAATGTCACAAGTAAACGTTCTTTTGGGGCACTTATAGTTTAGTTTTTCCTTTTGCAAAATGTCCTTTAAATGGAATCATACAGAACATATCCTATTGGGCTAGCCTCCTTACTTTTAGATTAATGCTTTTGGAATTCATGGATGTTATAATTATGTGTCAGTAGTTTGTTTTCTTTTATTATAGAATAGTCTCCATTCTATGACTATATTGCTAATTGTTTATCCATTTACCAGTTGATAGAACTTTGGGGGTTTTCCTGTTTGGGGCTGTTATATATGCATATACATTCTTTGTGTGGATATATGTTTTCATTTCCTTAATGTATATACTTGAAATAGGATTGATTGTGGATTATGGAAATGTAAAACTTCATGGTAAATTTATTTTTTAAAAAACCTGCTAAATTATTTTCTGAAGTATCTCTTTGCTGTCCTTTTTACCATGTATGAGACTAGAGTTCTAGATGCTCTTCATTGTCACCATTACTTTCTAGGGTCTACCTAATTTTTAATGTTAGTCTCTAATATGTACATGATATCTCACTGTTTTTTGTTTTTGTTTTGTTTAGTACTGGGGATTGAACCCAGGGCCTCACATATGCTAGGCAAGCACTCTACCACTTAGCTATACCCCACAGCCCCACATTGTGGATTTAGCTTAAATAATGACTAAGAAGTTGAAAATATTTTCATGTGCTTGTTTACTATTCATACCTTTTCTTTAGTAAAAATGTTTTTCAATTTTTTTGCTTATTTTTTAAAAATTGGATTATCTTCTTCTTGAGATGTGAATTTTTTAATATATCTTAGCTCTAAGTCCTTTATCAGATATGTGGTTTGTATATTTTTTCCAAGTCGGTGACTTTTTATTTTGTTAACAGTGTCTTATAAAGAGCAATCTTTAATTTTGATCAAATCTATTTTATCATTTTTTTTATTAAATACTTCTTGTATTCTAGCCTAAGGAGCTACAAAGTTATTCTGCAGTATTTTTTTCTAGAATTTGTTGTTGTGTTTACTTTGTTTTGGTACTGGGAATTTAATCCAGTGGCACTTTGCCACTGACCTACATCCCCAGCCCTTTTTAAAATTTTCTTATTTTGAGACAGAATCTCACTAAGTTGCTGAGGCTGCCGTTGAACTTGGGATCCTCCTACGTCAGCCTCCTGAGCCATTGCCATTACCATACCTGGCTTCTTCTGGCATTTTTACTGTTTGGGGTTTTATATTTAAGTTTATGATCCATAACTCTTTGACTTTTTTATTGAACTAGTTAAAATATGATGGCATTTGTTCAGGTGATTGTATTAAAGGCCTTACATAGAGCAGTGTTTCTTAATTGAGTCAGTTTTGTCCCTGTTCCCAGAAGGGGACATTCAGAAATGTTGAGCACATTTTTGGTTGTCATACCTAGGGAGTGAGGTGCTACTGCCAACTAGCAAGTAGAGACCAGAGATGCTACTAAATATACAGGACAGCACCCATAACAAATATAGCCTAAAATGTCAGTAGTGTAGAAGTTTAAAAACTGTCCTGAAGTCCAAACTTATGTACAAAAAAAATTTTAAATACAATTTATGGGCTTAGTTGTTGATTTGAAACAAGGAAGAGGAAAAACTGAGTTGGAGCTTCCAAGTCTGTGTGACCAGGAGGTTTAGTAATCCTTGTGGAAACAAAGAGGAGGAGGAGGATTGGGCAAGCTTATGATAATTCAGTTTTTGAATGGCACACGTATGAAATGTGGGACTTAAACCCAAGAAAATGTTTCAGGACTAGAAATAAGTAGAAGGTACAAGATTGGATGAAATTGATGAGAGAAAAGAGGAGATAATAAGGTAGTTTAATGGTGAAAGATGCCTTGTATTTAGAAGACCAGAGACTGACAAAGAGTAAGGTCAAGAGGGAAAGGGCCAGGAGAACATAGTTCTTGCTATATGAGGACAGGATTTAAAATTGAGGGTGCTTGAAATACTATAGTGATGAGGAAGGAGTTCTAGGAAAGTTACTGAATTTGGAAGAAAGAATGTCTTAGTGATTTTATTTTCCCCCCAAAAGAAATTTCTGAAGAGTATTATAAGAGTATTAAGGGAAGGTAATTTGGGTGGTGGCAGGACCCAGATTTTAAGGGTTTGAGAGTAAAGAAGTATAGTGTCAAGTTTAGGTGACTCAAGAATTGTGATAGTGATGAAATAAAAAGGGGGAAAAGAGTATCTTTAGGGAAAACAGGGGCGAAGGAAAGTTTGAGGGTCTAAGTTTTTAGGACTGCCATAACAAATCAACACAAACTGAGTGTCTTAAAACAACAGAAATTTGGGCTGTGGCTGTGGCTCAGTGGTAGAGCATTTGCCTAGCATGTGTGAGGCACTGGGTTTGATTCTCAGCACTTCATATAAATAAATGAATAAAATAAAGGTTCATCAACATCTTAAAAAAATTAAAAACCAGAAATTTGTTCTTTGACAGTTCTGGAGACCGGGGGGGGGGGGGGGCTGCTAAATTAACAGGTCAGGGAGGATGAACTCTAGGGAAGAATCCATACCCCCTGCCTTTTTCCAGCTTCTGGCAATTGCTATCAATCCTTGGCATTCCTTCGCTTGCAACTGTATCACACCAGTATCTGCCTCTGTCTTCACTTGGTTTTATTCCCTCTGTGTATCTCCATGTCGGAATTTTCTTCTTTATAAAGACACCAGTCAATGGACTTAGGGCCCATTCTAATGAGTATGACCTCATGAAGTACCATGTAGACATGAATTTTGAGGGGATGTTATTCAACCCAGCACTGAGGGGTTTATAAAACTCACTATAATGGTTTAAAAAAAAAAAAGTTTTGGTGAGGATATAGAGACATTAGAGTTGTATTTTATAATGGCACAGCCACTTTGGAAATAGTTTGGCATTTCCTCATAAGATTAAACATGGAGTTCCACACTAGGTATATACCCAAAAAAGGTGAAAATGTTTGTCTCCACAAAAACTTGTACACAAATGTTCATGGTACTACTCATAATACCAAAACGTAGTAGGTTGTTTCTACAAACAACCTAAATGTCCATCAGTTGAAAAATAGATAAACGAATGTGGTCTATCCATACAGTGGGATATTAACCATAAAAAGAAATGAAGTATTGATACATACTGTAGCATGAACTGTAAAAACATTGTTAAATGAAAGAAACCAGCCACAAATAGCCACATATTTTATGATTCTATTAAATAGCTAAGATTTGGAGGAGCTGAGAGATTTGAACCCAAACAACCAGTTTTAAGATTGGAAGTGGCCTCTGTTCTTATTAACCACTAGGGTATTTTCGTTGCCATAAAATAGATTAAGATATTGAATAAGTTTCTCAAGATTTGTGTGAGGAGTACAAATCACAGTTGAAGTGTAAGCTTGAACCCTGTACTAGAGGCAGGTATGTGGAGGTGGGGAAACATCTCTCTTAGGGAATAATAGAGATACGATACCTGCAAATGACCTAAACATTGCTCTGTTTCTCCCTACCAGTATGAAGTGAAAGCTCCCGTTCCTTCTGCCTGTTTCAGGAATATTTGTAAGCAAATGGCCAAAATGCATGAAGCTATATTTGATCTTCTTCCAGAAGAACAAACACAGGTGAGTAGTAATTCCCTCAGACTGGGATGTTTTTCACATGTTTTTTTGCACAGTTAAGCTTAATTCATATTCTGATATGATTTTTAACCTTTTTTAGATTGTTAATTTGACTAATGGAACATTGATAAAATTTTCTAATTTCAAAGTGATAGGTGGTAGCTGCTAGGTGAGAGCTATAGCTTTACTATATGATCAGGAATCTGAAAAGCAGATTTTCCATTTGTCCATTTTAAGAGGTCCCAGATTCTACTTAAGTCACTCATTACATTATTACAAGTCTCTGAATATCAGAGTTGCCATTTATCAATGAATAATAAAATGTTACTGTGATTGTAATCTGAACTGAAAATGGAAAGAATTAATGATGGAGTTAATAAAATTAACATGTATAACTAAATCATTCTACTTTATCTCGAATAATTGTATGGAGGAAAAATAGCAAAATGGGGATCTTTGACACTTCTCACCTGTGAAATTATCGATGCTGTACTCCTGTTGCATTTTATCTGATAATAAAAGTATTATCACAGAGTTCATTTCACTCTTTAATGTCCTCCCTTATCTCTACACTCCTTGTTTCCCTCACCTAGAACTTCAAAGTTTCCAGCATTCCTTTCTTCCCAGTCTCCTTCCCTCTCCTTTAACTTTTTACCTTTATACCAGGTGGTCTCATTCAAGCCTAGTGGTATAAATGATACAATGTTATAAATACAAGCCTAGCTGTTGTATATCAAGTGAATTTAATTTCCACTGATAATTTTGTTATTTAGACAAGTTTATTTTGTTTTTTCTCTAATTGGTTGATTGCATAGGAGTGGTATTTGGGAGTAGAGGATTGTTTTCCTAATGTCTCTTGCCTACTATTTGTTCCCAATGATGGCCTCTCTCGGCCACCTGAGACTTCCACCCTGCATTATTTATTACCACTTCATTAACAACCTCATGACTATCATCCAGCTCCTTTGGAGCCCAGAGTACTGAGGGAGTGCCATAAGATATGAGTGCCCACTAGTTCTCTTTTTTCCTTCTGATTACTTCCTAGCTAACCCTTCCTTTTCATTCCATATATAAGAACCACCATGTCTGACATTTTGACCTTTTGAATTTGCCATTTGAATTTTGAGAGAAAGACTTAGTACAGGTCAGGGAGCTGGGTATATATTTACTTCATATGTTTCTATTTTTGTCGTAACTTAAAGGATTCTTTCATCAAAGCTGGGCAAAAGTTGCCACTTTAATACCAGTAATTATACAAAACTTCCACTGGTGGTTCTAAATATACACCTTTTTCCCATAGAAAATATTATTCTACTAAATCATTTCCATAGATCAGTTTTATACAGTTTTAGGCCATACCTTTCTCAAACAAGTATTGGACCATTCATTAAGTCTGCATGCAGCAATAATGAAATACTTTGAAATGATTTTATTAGTTAGAAACATAAAGGTACTTTTGCCTCTATCATTGTATTTTTTTAAAAAATATTTATTTTTTAGTTGTAGTTGGACACAAAACCTTTATTTTATTTATTTATTTATTTATTTTTTACGTGGTGCTGAGGATCAAACCCAGAGCCTCACACACGCTAGGTGAGCGCTCTGCTGCTGAGCCACAACCTCAGCCCTTATCATTGTATTTTTTAAAATCAAGTTTACATATTATAAAACTTTTCACTACCTTTTGTTCTTTTTACCTGTTGTGCTTAATCCCACTTATATATCCCACAGGAGTTCTTCCAAAGTACAGAATGGCAATCTTATTGCTAAATGAGGTACTGTCAAGAAGGGGGAAAAAAGTTTTTGTTCCACTAAGGAGAAGAATGATAATAAAATAAGCAATTACTTATTTTTCAGAGGAGCATTTTAAAAGTTATGTCAAAACAAGGTTTGGGGGCTGGGAATATAGCCCAGTTGGTAAAGGGCTTGCCTCACATGCACAAAGCCCTGGGTTCAATCCCCAGCACCACAGGAAAAAAAACAACAACAAGGTTTTGTTTTTAATACTTTCTCCAAATAATATTGATAACTCACATGTCTTCTATTTCAGGAGAACTATAAGAAAGCTTATTTTCTTTTCCAGATGTTATTTTTAAGAATTAATGCAAGTTACAAACTTCACTTGAAAAAGCAGTTATCTCACTTAAATGTGATAAATGATGGAGGACCTCAAAATGGGTATGATTTTTAATATATTTTTACCACATATTCTCATATTGAATTGTTTCAATGATTAGTTTTTATCTTTATGCTGTTCTGTCATACTGGGGACCAAAGTTATAAAATCAGCAACATTTTGCATTTTTCCTCTATGAAGATGCTATCTTGTCTGTTATTATGTTAAGTTCTTTACATGTTTTGAGGAGTTATTGTGTCTTTAGATACTCAGTAGTCTTTCTTTTCCAAAGGACTCAGTTCTACTCAGTAGCTCTGTGACTATGTGAAGGTCATTCAATTTCTGTCCCTCATTTGTAAAATGACAAGGATAAAATCTGCCTTAATTCTTTCAGAGTTATGAAAAATAATGTGTAGGTAGGACAGTATATTATAAACTATCAAACAAATTTTATATATTACCTCTGAAATAGTGTATTTAAAAAGAAAACAGGATTTAGAATCAGAAAACTTGGGTTAAATACTAGTTCTGCCACTTTTTAGCTGGATAGTTTTGGGTAAATCTTATCCTCTGTGTGCCTTAATTTTTTAGATTTAAAATTAGAAATAATGATTAGGTACTGTGCAGGGGAATGATATTGGCCAAATTATATTGTTATAGTGTATGCATATACAAATATATAACAAGAAGTCCCACCATTATGTATAATTATAATGCAACAATTTAAAAATGAGGGGAGGGAAAACCCGCTCACTGGTGGGGGAGGACCTTTATGTGCTGTCTAAATATTATTCATTACCAGTTTTCTTCTGTAGCTGTGAAGGCCATTTATAAAGTGGCTGGTAGAGATTATATATATTTGGAATTATGAGTTACAGAATACTTATTTCCTTTTGAAAAATCTGGATTGTGAGTGGTTTAGGGAGACACTGTTTTCTTAGCAATTTATTCTATTAAATCATCATTATAGCTAAAATTGCGAAAGGCTAGAATAGTAAGAGTTTTTATTTTAAATATATCCAGCTCACTTATATCTGTGATGCTTTTTTATGGCATCACATTTGACATATATGACACTTCAGTGTCAGTAGAGGAACTGGAAAGGTGAGCTAACCATCTAGTTTTTCTTAGAATAAACTCTCCTTTGTGCCAGACCAAACCATGTACTCTGTGGGCATTATCTCAGACTAACCTTAGAAGACTATTGACTGTTATATTTTTAATCTATCATTCAACATTTTTTAAAATTTAAACCGTACTTACTCATAGTATTGAGATTCATTTATATTGTCATTTATTGTGCTCCGATTTCAAGACAAGAATACCTTAAGTAACTGAATCAACATGTGATTACTAATACTAACATTGAAGCAAAGTTAAGCTGAATATCTCATATGGAGTAGTATTTTATTCATTTTTCACAATAAGGAATCCCACACTGTATTGATAAAAATGTAACTGTGTCAGTAGCTTATCTGCCATTTGTAAAGTGCAAAGATTTTTTTTTTCCATCAAATGAATTACATTTGCCATATCACCCATTTGTCCTAACACTCTGATTGCCATACTAGGAAATAATTGTATGTAAAGATCCTTTGGGATTGAGGTATTTTATGGGTGTGTAGGACATCTTTGCTTCACATACATTAATTTAAAAGTCTGCTATCTGGGCTGGTGTCGTAGCTCAGTGATGCAAGCACATGCCTATAATGTGTGAAACCTTGGGTTGCTTCTTACCACACCACCCGCCAAATCTGTGTATTAAATTCTTTTTTGTACTTATAATGCTCAGGAAGCCTGCCATTTCTTTCCTTTTACTATTTTAGTGCATACATATATACTCTAGTGACAACCAATCAAAAATAGTTATAAATTCATTCTATTTTAAGATACATCTGATTTTACTGGGTAGAGTTTATAATGAACCTGACTTCAACATGCATTTGTTTATACTTTTTCCAAACATTTATTTTTTTAAATAAAGCATTAAATGGTTAATTGTATGATAGCAGGAATCCTGGCAAGAGAAGTATGTTGATATTTATCCCTAGGAATTCTGAATTTAAATAATATTGTAGCAGCTGGTATAGGAATCTGAGAGCCTTGCTCATTTATCTGGATAGAAAGAGTGAAATTTAAAATTTTTCTCTCCAATGTTTAGGTTGGTCACAGCAGATGTAGCTTTTTACACTGGAAATCTTCAAGCCTTAAAAGGTCTTAAAGATTTGGACCTAAATATGGCAGAGATCTGGGAACAGAAGAGGTGACAACTCACTGGAAAACTGGGTAGTTCATCTAACCATGGGACATGTATGTTTCTGAAGAATATCTGAATGCCTGTGTTTCGAGAACCTGGAACCCAAAGTGAACTGAGGTGGGGGAAAGGGAAAAGGAAAGTATCAGTGTTGGGAAACTGGATTCAGTGGGATCTACAAGGAATGCCATTTTTGTGCATTCTTAAGTGAGGAGTAACTGATCAGGTGTCTATAACATTTTTCATTCTCTCTGGAAACAGACTCAGGTTTCTTTGGACCAAATCCAAAAGAACACATAGCTGTAACACAGCTGTAGTTGACTAGAATGCTCTGTATACTTTATATTAAAAAATGCTTTGCATTTCTTCCAGTGCAATGAAATTCATATGGTGTCCCACCTTATTTAATGATGGTACAATTTAAAATATTAAAATCTTAGTCAACCTCTGTAGAAAGTTTTCTCTATGAAAGTAAAGCTGTTTGAAAAATTATTTTTTTACAGATCTTTCTATAAAAAATAAACATCTTTTGATTGCTTGGATTTAGGAATTCAGTTTTTGTTTTAGTGACCAATGTCAAGTTTCAGGCTTTGTGTTACATATTTAATCTTTCTACTACCACCGTTATGTCAGCTGGGTAAAGCCTTCTCAAAAGTCCAAATACATGAAAGAATAATAATAAGATATTGGCATTTATGCAACTACTAGTTTAAATACTTTTCAGAAGTGGTATACAGAAGGCTACAGTTTAATAGCTGTATTTTTATAAAAGTATCTATGAAGGGTTTGGGTTTTTTCCCCCTAACAGGTAAGACTATGTATTCATGTAATATGCCTACTTATGAGTTCTCATTTTAACATTTAGGTAACATATGAAGTATGGTCCCCTTGGAGTCTTGTTTTTAAGTTACTTTCAATGTGTATATGAACAAAGACCAGGGAGAAATAGAAATTTTAAAATATGGGCTGCTGTTTGGGGGCCAGAAATACAAGGTATTAAAGACTTTTATGATACCTACCTTCAAAATTAAAAATTAGAATCAGCAGCACTCTACAAGTGAAAGTGCCTGTGCCTCACCTCACACTAAGACTCTTGCCTAACCCTGTCAGAGTGCCTAATCTTGTGATTATGTACAATGAAATAGTCTTATTTTGTGCTTTATAGTTTTTTCAAAAGGAAAGCTTGTTTTCTTTCCTTTATCATTACGAAGGTATGTCATTGATTCTTACGCTGTCTAAAATAAAGGTGTAAAAAATTATGAGACTTTAAAAGACAACTTTTTTTTAAGTACGGAAGAATTGGGAAGTATGACTTGATCTACCAGCAGACCTGATTTGTAAGGTTATTCTTGAAAATTTTTCAGTGACGTGAAGCTTTAAGAAAAGGGAACTTACCCCACGCCATTTATCTCTCCATACTACAGTACAAGGATCTGAAAGAAATGTTCTACCTCTGCCCACTCCAACCATTTAGCTGGGGAAAGAAATACCACTTTTTTTCAGTAAATGGAGAGTCTAGAGCACATGGCAGGCACCTCAGTCTTAGAACTATATGAGAGGTTAAATACCTTCCATTTCCTTTGGAAATGTGTTTTTCTTAGAAATGCAGAAAACTGGACTTAGTAGATAACTAGCTGGTGAGTACTTAAATATTCCAACCCAAACAGTGTCTGTTCAGCAAGAACAAACCATTTTATTTTGCTGATTCATAAAATTAGCATTAAAAAGTTCAAGAATACATGTGTATGGCTTCACCGCTTTATTTTTGAAATCACAGGCAATTCAAAGTGACCATCACTGAGGCTTCTGTTAATAAAAATCTTCCAACAGAACTGCCCCAGTTTTAGGATTAAACAATATTGCACTTTAAGATGAACTTTCAGGATCCTCTTCAAAGAGGGAAAGTATTGCTCCATCTGTTTTTCTTAAACTAAAAGTATATTGCAGAAAACTCTAAAAATCAACACTGCAAGGTACAGTAACATAGTCAAGTACCTGCCTACTTTAGAATCCTAGAGACATTTCAATGTAAGAAACTATTTAGCCCATAATTAGTATAAAGTGTATACAGTATTCTTTTCAGTGGTCCAATATGCGAAGGTTTCCAGATACAATCTTGTTCTCTAATACTGCTCCAGGTGGGATGTCAATTCTGTCGCCATGATTTGCAATGATGATAACTGTTCCCTAACAGGGAAAACAAAGAGCTAAGAATATACTTGCAACTGCAACTGAAATGCAATTATCATACAACAACCATCAAGTTTATGTACAACTCCTTTTAAATGGAGTAACTGTAAGGATAAACAATATTAAACATGAAAAGCAAGTAACATTAAGGAAAAATGTAATGTGTACATCTGTCACAGTCCTGACAGTAGTCCTAGATTCCCTGCCTCCTTGTCAGAGATGGTGCGAACAATGGGAAGTAGACCCAGTGCCAGAGTATAACTACCCTTTTTGAAGGCCTCTTGCTTATAAAATCACCAGCATTATCCAATACCCAAAAAGCAAGTAACAGATGCCATGCCTAGTGGTGCACACCTATAATCCCAGCTACTTGGAAGACTGAGGCAGGAAAATTTCAAGTTTGAAACCACTGGGCAACTTAGCAAAAAGGCTGGGGTTTGTAGCTGGGCATGGTGGTGCACACCTGTAATCCCAGTGGCATAGGAGGCTGAGGCAGGATGACTGCAAGTTCAAAGCCAGCCTCAGTAACTTAGCAAGGCATTTAACAACTCAGCCAGATTCTGACTCTAAATAAAGTATTTTAAAAGGGCTGGGAATGTGGCTCAGTGGTTAAACCTCCCTGGATTCAATCCCTGGTACAAAAAAAAAGGAGGAGGAGAAGCAGCGCTGGGGTTGTACTTCAGTGATAGAGCACTTGCCTTGCACATGCAAGGCCCTGGCTTTGATCTCCAGCACAGAAAAGAACTGAAGTAAAAGTTGCACGATTTATATTTTCATACACAGTTCTCTGTTGTTTCGGTTTTGGTACTGGGGATTGAATCCAGGGGTGCTCTACTTCTAAGCTACATCCCCAGCCCTATTTTAATTTTCATTCTGAAATAGGTCTGAGTTGCTTAGGTGCCCCCCTAAGTTGCTGAGGCTGGTCTTGAACTTGAAACAACCTCCTGACTCAGCCTCACAAATCACTGGGATTACACGCATGTGCCACTGTGCTCAGCTGGTTGTGTCTTCTTGTTTTTTTAAGGAATAGTTGTACTGTTAAGTTTTCATTGTCTTGAGATTTTAAATAGTTAATATAAGCAATAAGTTCAGTATAGTGTGTTGTTTTCCCCCCCTAAGATCTCTTCATTTAAGCAAGTAACTTTAAGGGTAAGAACACATGAAAAAATAGATATGAGATTTAAAAAATAATAATAATAATAATAATAGGAAAAAACTTTTACATCTTCAATGGTAGCTTTTACCCATAAAGTCCCAAGTTTTCAATTCTGTGAATATTTCAATGAAATTGATACAGGTACAGTAAAATGGGAAATCCATCTATAGCTTATGAATCATTATCAGTAATCATTAGCCTATTTTCTCAATAAAACTCTAAAAATATAAATGTTTCAAAGTTACCACAGATGGTATGTTGCTCAAGTTTTTGTGGGTATCCCATATAATGTAAACAAATATATTTATACTCATTTACATTACACCTAACATATATAATCTTCAGATTCCTTTAACAGGATTAGACTATTCAGCACAAATGAACTCACTTTTAAAAAAAGTTATTCGAATAGTCAACTTTAGAGAGCTATGCTAGTAGTGATCGTATTTTAAAATTTTGATAAAATAGAGCTGTTCACTACTAGTGTTTGCTTTCCATTTGAATGTTGTATACCACAACATACTTATATAAAATTAGGTTTGTATTTTAACTAGATATATATCTGATTATACTCCTACTAAATACTGTAATAACCTATTTCATATCTGTGTCCACATATTTTAAAAGATTATCTTATAAATATATGGTTCAGTCTAAGAAGTACTCAAATAGAGGTAAATTTAGGACTAGAAAACAAAACCTACTTATAAAGCTATAGGAAATGTGCTCTTCATCATTAACATACATACCTTTAATGAAACATTTTTGCCAAATGTCACATCCCCTGAAACTGTGAGATGATCCAATTCAAGCATATCTGGTATACTTTCAAATCTTCTTAGATAATCTTGAACCTTTAAGTAGAAACAAAAAAATATTTCAAATGGGTTCTCAGGAGCCAGGCGTGGTAGAACACACCTGTAATCCCAGCAGCTCAGGGGCAGGAACATTGCAAGTTCAAAGCCAGTCTTAGCAACTTAGCAGGGTCTTGTCTTGAGAAACTCGCCAAGACTCTGTCTCTAAATAAAATATAAAAGAGCTGGGGATGTGATTCCGTGATTAAGTATCCCCAGGTTCAATCCCTGGTGCCAAAAAAAGGCAGGAGGTTTTCACAGAAAAATAAATAATAAATAGTTTAACTGAACTATAAATCATTTTATGGTAAAACTCAAGTTTTCTATGAGAAGCACCTATTAAGATCCTATGCAGAAGAGTCCAGTAGATATGAACATTGTCCTTAAAAATAAAGCAATTATAATACAGTTGAGCCAATCAGATGTGTGGTTTTTTGTTTTGGGGAGGTTTTTGTTTTTTTGGTTTTTTAAGATAACCAAACCAGCCATCATGCTAAAAGCCAGAAAAGTAGTTCACATAGTCTGGATAGAGCTGGAAAAAGAATGAACGATCATGCTTTGAAGCAGTCTAGATCGGAACTGCTTTTATGGGATGGGCAGAATTCACAAGTGGCTCTCATTTCAAGAACAATAAGACAAATCACCATTATCCCTATCTTTGTTGGGGTGGGGGGCGGGGAGTGTTTACTGGGGAACTGAACCCAGGGCTGCTTTACCACTGTTCTACATCCCCAGCCGTTTTTCTTTTTTGAGACAGGGCCTTGCTAAGGTGCTGAGGCTGGCCTTGATCTTCCAATCTTCCTGTCTCAGCCTCCCCAGTTGTTGGAATTACAGACATGTACCACTGTACCCAGCTCTTATCTTTGCCTTTTATTTCTTTGGATGTACAAGCACTAGAGATTGTTCTATGTGATCTCATTTCCTATTTTGCTGAGAAAATAGAAACAATCAGAAATTTCCTTTAGATTCAACCATCCACCATCTTGCCTCCTAGCCCATTACCCTTTTCTCCTAGTACTGGGGTTGGACTATTTCTACTGACTTAAAGCCAACCTCTCCACTGTGTATTAGGTTTTTATGAGTTATTCAAAAATATTGTTTCAGGGATTCTCTCTATAATGTTTTTTCCCTCCTGGCTGCATTGGTTGCCATTAATGTATATGTAAATTCTCCCATTATTTATTTACATGTGTACATGTGTGTTTATGTATTTATTTTTGCAATATTGGGGACTGAACCCAGAACCTTACACATCATAGGCAAGCAGTGAACTATATTCTCAGCCCTTTTTAAAAACTTGGTGAGGTTCTTTTTTTTCTTTTCTTTTTTTGGAACTGGGGGTCAAACCCAGGGCTTTGCAAATGCAAGGCAGATGCTTTGCCACTGAGCTATATCCCAGCCCCCTTTTGTAAAACTTCAAGACAGGGTCTCAGCAAATTACCTAGGCTGGCCTCAAACTGATGATCCTTCTGTCTCAGTCTCCCAAGTAGCTGGGATTACAGGCATATGCCACCAAGCTCAGTAATTCTCCCATATTTAAGAAACAAAACCAAACCGCTTAAATGTTATATTCCTCTCTACCTTCTGTTTACCTTTAAGGCAAAACTTTTAAATGAGCTGTCTATATTCATATCTCCAACCTATCTCCTATTCTCTTAAATTTATTCCAGTTGGACTCCCAAACTTCCATATTGATAAATATATTTACTCTTACTTAATCAGCAACATGAATGCTTAGTCCCTCTTTCCTGAAACATTCTTTTTCATTTGACTTTCAGGACACACACACACACACACACAGAGACACGTTTTCTATTCAGTTCCTCATCTGTGGTCCACATGAGGTGGCACTAAACCATATCCAGGACTCCAACAGACTTGGATGATATAGCAGGATACCACAGGTTAGACACAAAGACTCACCCTGTCACTTCATTAACCTCAACGTTTTATGTGATTAAATTTTCAGGATTCCACTTGTCAGAGTAGGGTTTTGCTAGACTTATTCCCTTTGCATGGAAGGTTTTTGGCCCAGATACCTGCATAGTACACTCACTCAACTTCTTAATTGGGCTGTCCATGGCTACCCAATCAATGTTAAATTACACTCTCCCTGCACATATATTTCTATTTGGAATACTGTGTATTTTATTTATTTGCTTATTTTTCCTTCTCCACTAGAATGTAAGTCTTCCATAAAGACAAGGATTTTATTAGTCTGTTTTGTTTACTGCTAAATCTCCTCATCTAGAAACCAGAATTAACCTTTTCCCACTGATGAAAGCACTTATGGTCATGGGCCCTCCCATAAGATAAAATGTCCCGACATTTAAATATTCTCTACAGTGAATCAATTTTCAAAAAGTTCATCTTTATCTTTTATAATCAGTTCCTTTAAATTACATCAAAAATCGAAGAATACAATGTGTCAGAAGTGGAAATTTAAATCCATAAGTGGATCATATCTTTACAGTTACATACCTTTGTAAAAGAACTGCCTAATTTAACCAAGGGCACTGTAGGAAACTCCCGCTTTTCACTCATTGTCAAAGATCCTGCATTAAGGCTATAGAGGTTTGACATCACAAGCAAGAGATCTGATGTGGTTTTGACAGGCAGAAAACGGCTCCTTGGAACATTAATACCTAAAGAATTCTCAAAGCTTTTAATTGCAGCCCCTACTGCAGTTTCTAACTGAATGACATTCAGGCCTCCATCCAAAGTCTGTAAAATAAGAGGGAGAGGGGCAGGGGGAAACACAGAGTTTAGGTACCTACAACTTACAAATTAGTTCCATATGTGATAGTTAATATCTGGGAAGTGCTTTTAGAGAGACAACGAAGGAGATACAATTTCAAGAACTGACATTTATCAAGCACCCATTATATGCCAAACTCTTAATACCTGTGTGGTATTTTTTTTTTTTGGTCTCGTAACTCTGGTTATGTAGAAATATCCCCATTATACCATAAAAGAACCAAAGGTTCTAAAAACTCATACAAGCTGCATGTGGCCAAATGGCTAATAGTGTCAGAGCAATAACCAAGACTGAGGTGGGTCTTTTTACTTTTGAGTCCAGTGTTCTTGCCACTACAACAGGCCAGGGTCAAATAAAGGCACGCTACAGAGATGAATGCAGAGTCTGGAGGACAGAGCCAGCAACCTAGAGTCTCACTAGGCCAGGAGAAGAGACCAAAGGAATACACAGGCCAGAGGGAGTGGGCAACGGGGTCCACGTTTAGCCTACTGTGATCTTTGGTACCAGCAAGCCCAGTGAGAGAGAACTTTGGCTTACCTTTGGATTCACAATGATTTCCATGTCAATAGCATTCTGTTCCTGCAGTCTTTTAACTGCTGCAAGAGAAATCCATAGGTTGTTTGTGTTAAATATTTTAAATTTTGATACAGACTTGAACTCATCAACGTGTGCTTTTGGCACTTGAGCGATTTCCACCAATCTCAGTTTGCCTTCATACTGAGTGAGTGTCCCGCCCTAGGAAGGCAGAAAATAATTAGTGTTTCCACATCTTTCCCCATCAGAACCACAACATCCTGCTTAATTTTATGGAAAAGACACTGATGGTACAATCTCCCAGAATATAAAGTGACATTTTAAAGATAGAACCACCATCTTGTTCAAAAGTAAAGCCCTGGAAGCAGATCAGAGTCATCCTCACTTGCCTAAGGTCTGCTACAGAAATAGTTGTTCTCACACTACTGCTTGTTACAAAACAATACCACCCAAGGGCCTGCTCTGACGGGCTATAGAAAAGGGGAGCACAGAGGAGACAGATATACAAGAAGATAAGTGGCCTCAGGCTAGTGAGGTTCTTTCATCCACTAAGACATGCCAGTATAGAAAAAGGGCAACATTTCCAAGAGGCATAAAATCCAGGCCAAGGACTGTTTTAGTTTTCATGTACTGCTTGCTTTTTTCGGGGGGTAAGTAGTAAAGTCTATGTGCCATTTCACCCAAGGCCAAATTTCATGACTGCCAAACATGCCAGGTTAAACAAATTTGTGATTTGTACCAAAAGAATGGCATATTTTTACATGTACTACAAAGATATTACAGTGATAAAATTTTATAAATATGTAAGGAAGTTTTCATTAGAGGTGCTAAAGTTCCAGACAACAATATTAAGTGTCTGAACTTAACGGAAGTGTTTTCATTTTTCAGCTCTATTCCATAAATATACACAAAACACTTTAGTTAAAATCACTGACAGATTATCCAAAAATAATGGTTCTAATACCACTGACTTTGGATTTATGATACACATTGTTATGTTAGAACTTAAATTACTCCACAGAATACCATCTCTATCTTACAATGTTAAGTGAATAAATGTGTTCTGCTTAAAAGAAACTTTCAAATTAGAAAGAAAAAGCATTAAGTATACAACCTATTAATGGAAAAACGTGAATCCCAAATTGCTTCCCCTCAGTATTTACCTTCACATCTGCACGTGTTTTGTTTGTGACTTCCATGACAAATTCACAGCGTTTTCCATTGGGTGGATTCATTAGATGATTAAGAATATAAAGATCCACTGTGGCACCCAGATTATCTATGTTAGACACAAAAATATACTCTTTGCCTTCTCCTATAAAGGTATCGAGCAAACCAGAGTTGTAGAAACTGGCGTAGATATCACCATGACCTGGAGGGTACCAAGCTTCTGTATTTTCCCCTGAGTAAGAGACATCCTTTGCTACAGGAAGTAAAGATTCTTTATTAATCCTCGGGTACCTTAAAAAAAGAAAAAGTTCTTTTGCATTATCAACCCTGTAAAGCATTTCAGACCTTCAAGCAAAACAATGCATTAAAAGATCCTTCTTTTTCAGTGTTTCAATAGTAAATTATAGGTGAATCCACTTAAGAAAATCTCATCTGTGTTGTTCAAAATCTGTTTCTTAGCTAATAAGTTGCTGCAAAAAAATTTTTTCCCATGGTCATATAGATGGGAAGACACCTCGAATTTTTAAGATATTAATGTTTTCTAACTCTTCAAGAGGAGGCATATATTAAGTAAATGATGTTCTCAACCTTTTTGGATTTTGGATAGTTCTTTTCCCTGAAGACCTATCTAGGGAAAGCTACCCATTCTTACAAACAGATATATTTTGGGAGTGATTCTCTTTCTTCTTCAGAAAACCAATAGCAGGTTATTAATACCCCTCCCATTATCAAAGAGCACACGGGTAAGGACTGACAATGGGGAGAGGCAGACAGGAGAAAGCAGCACAACAAACTAAAGAAAAATGCAGACAACCCATCTGTGACAAAAAGTTTCCATGGGAAAGTGGACTAAAAAACACAATGGAGCAACTTCAGATGTGTCCCTTCTTCCTAAGTTTATGTAGACTCGTGTCTTTCTCAATGGAAACCTTATCTCCCCAGTTGCCTGGGCTTTATCACAATGCTTTCATCTGATTTCCTTTCTACTCATTCCACTGTCCCCAAAGTTGATGGTTCCAGAATTTATTAAATTATCCCCATGCCTAACTCAAGGTGAAGAAATTCCCACAGAAGTGAAGGTTATCAGTCAGGGGACGGTGGCACATGCCTGTAATCCCAGTGGCTCAGGAGGCTGAGGCAAGAGGATCATGAGTTTAAAGGCAGCCTCAGCAAAAGCAAGGTGCTAAGCAACTCAGTGAGACCCTATCTCTAAATAAAATACAAAATAGGGGTGCAGATGTGGCTCAGTGGTTGAGTACCCCTGAGTTCAATTGTTGGTACCCCCCCCCAAAAAAAGAAGTGAAGGTTATCAATACTGTAGAATACAGAAAGCCGTTCACAGACCCAGCTGAAGCCCAAATATACCCTCAGAAAGTGAAGACCTATAAGCCAACCTCTAATATTTTGGACATGGAACAGAATCTTAAACAAATTTTCTTTTAAGAACTGGAAATTACAGAACTGAAAAGTAATTCTGACAATCATAGCTATTACCAAATGTTCAACTTTGAAAGGTGTCAAGCACTTGCAAGATGGCACATGCACATCTTGAGACTGCTGTTACAAAGCAAAGAAATCCTTTCCCAAGAGTAATACTCAAGATTTTTTTGTATGTTTGGTTTTTTGTTGTTGTTATTACCCCTTTTACCTGCTTTGATTGAAAGTGTAGATTTTCACACGACAATGATTGTACTTTTGTAGTATTTTTTTTGTATCTTCATCCGTGTTAAAAGAGTTCATTAAAACAAGAGGAACATCAGTGTTGTAGGTTTTGTTCAAATGCTAGGGAGGAAAATGACAATCAGATTACCCAGATTTGTTTTCTTTGCTTATGTAAAACTAATTCTTCAGAGTTAATCACCTCATTTATATATACATCCAAATACATCTAAATATATACATTTGACATAAGTAACTCCTTTGCGTGAGGCAGACTTTTGATAAGCAGTTTACCATGTACTCAATAAATCACAACTCTTTGGGGACAGAACTATTGACTGAATTTTATTGCTGATTAAACTGAGCCCCAGCTGGGTGCCCCCAGGTGGCCAACTCTCAAAGTGTGTACACAGCCACAGTGCGGTGTGGTCTTACAGAAGTCTATAGACAAGTGCTGAGTAAGCATTTACTCTTATGTTTCAAGTTCTGTGGGGATTAAAGTACAGATGTTACAAAGATCTGGCTTGCAGTTCTCAGGATGAATGGTCAAAAATTCTGAATCACACCTCAACAGAAATCTTTCCAATCTCAGAAAAGCTAAGAGACAACTTAGGGAGAAAAAATAGGTTCTTAGAAGCCAAGACTATCCAATGTTCAAATTCTGATTCTGGATTAACTAGTTAGGGAGCTTGAGAAATAAAGTCTCTGTGTCATGGTTTTCTCATCTGTAAACTGGGGATGATAACTATTTACCTCACTCAGTTGTTCAGAGGAACAAATGGATCAATTCTTAGGAAAAGCATGGAGTATCTGGTGCACAGTAAGGGCTGGATGAATGTTAGCCACTGCTACTGCTAGTGTCATGACTATAGTTGCCAGCATCATACTAGACAACAGATACAGAGAAGGGAAAGACAGGGACACTGCCCCTGAAGAGCTTACAGTCTACGATTAATAACTTTGACATAAGAAGGACACCAAGAACAGTTCTTAGCATTCATGGCATCCTGAAAGCTATCTTCCCCAACTTACCAAAAGGGGTTAATAAAGCCAGATCAACCCAGACATCATGAAGGCTGTCAGCCAAAAGAAAGGAGGTGGAAGGCGGCAGATCAAAGGATAATCTGAACAGACCCAGAGATTTCATCAACCACAAATGCTATTTAAGATCAAAAGGTTTTATATCACCCTAAGGATGTGACCTTAAACCTTTTTTTTAAACACTGTTAAAGAGACTAAAGATAGCAAGCTCTTTGACTAGCTCAAATTCACATCTGCTACATTTAACAATATAAAATTTATGATAACCTAAAAACTATTTTAGTGTCTCATCAGAAAGGCTGTGTTACTTACTTCAATTTGCTGAACAGTCAGATCCAAAAAGGTATTCTCATTCCTCACACCAATCAGACTTTTAGGGCCTTTGCAACCCATGCTGGTTCCCAAACCACCATTGAGTTTCACCACCACCAGCTTGTTCAACACAGAAGATACATTATCAGGCAAGCCCCTGGCCTTTATCTTTTCATAAGGTTGAATCTGAAAGGAAAAATAAAATTATAGGAATAATTCAAATAACTTTGTAAGATGTTAAAGCAAATCAATTCTGGGATTATTTCCATTTTTCTTCCTTTTAAAGTTTTGGTCTCTCTTGTGGAAAGTTTCACCCACATTTCCTTTAATGTCACTAGGCCCTTCTGGTTCAAAATCAAAAACTTAACAGGCAACTTCCTTGAGCACAGTAGGTGAATGGTTCACTTACACTATAATGAAGTATAAAGAAAGGGGGAAAGTTGTCTATAAATATTTGTCTGACTAGTGGGAACATCCAAGGTTTTTAGACTCAAAACTTCCAATTTGCCTCAACAAAGCAAATGAGATACACAAAGCTCATCCAAAGTCTAAATATTTCTGGTGTATTATGATCCACTTCAATTCTGAACAATGCTTACAATCAATACATTATTCTACCACAGGAGGCAAAAACCAAAAAATACTTGTTCTTTGCCATTCTCCTCCATTCAGTCTTAAGTTTGACCTTCAGAAGAAGATGGCATAGGCTTCTAGGTATGCACAGAATTCCTTAAGAATTTTAATTCTTGATTATCCCTGTATAAAAGCCCACACTGGAAAATAAATTCTTCTCATTGTTCCAAGAAATGCCCTGGGAGAAAACAAGGGCAGGGCTGGAGAAAAATCCCCAATCTCCTCCCTAGCATTCTCAACTATTTTTGTGAACAGAGAGTATTAAACTTAACTTCTCCCTCATAGGAAACTTAGAAGCTGAGACTCATTTTTGTTTTTCAAACCAGGCACAAGTAAGACTCGGCATCTTATAGCAAGAATGAAAGCTTTTTTAAAAAGATTACAACAGGTTTTCTACATGTGGCATTTTTGCTATTTTGCTTTAATGGAATAGGTCCTCAAAAGGCTCTTCAGTTACATCATGGTGTAGGACACATAACACATGAGTGGGCCAAAAAAAAAAACAACCAGTAGGTGCTCTGTGAACACTAGATTTTATTTATTGTGCTACCTGCAGGGTTGTGTATGTGTGGATGAGAGGGGCAAGGGGCAAGTGACATTTGTGACTGGGAAAGGTCTTGACAAGCTCACATTTCAGTGATCTAAGCCTGTGGAACAATCTCTTTATGTTTAGTCAGACAAACATACATATATCATACACAGATTCTGATCACAATTCTTGCTCTTAATAGTTCTTTCCATTAAACTGTAACTTAGTTCTTCTAACCTTTAATATACTGTATTAACTGCAAGTGTGGCTAATACACTGTGTTACCTGGTATAAATACTAAGGAACAACAAAGCTCTCTATTGATTATCCCCACTCCCATTATCACTCATGCTGAACTGTTTCCTGATGTGACAGATAGTGTTCCTAGTAAATGCTGCTTAAGCAGCCATTAACATTTATTCCCGTTCATGAACCAGAGGAAGGGCTAATGACCAGAAAAGACAGGAGGAAGAGACCGGACCATGGGCACTCCATCAGGTGCTACCTAACCACTTCAATGCTAACTGCCAAGGACCAGGACAGGGAGGTGGGAAAGAACAGAGACCACACAAGTTGCTTCCCTGGCAGCACTTGGTTTTGGTGAGGAAAAGGCAGGGGTAACAAGAACTTGAACTCCAACACAAACACAAAGTGCCCATGACCCAGTGGAAGATATTCCTTGAAAATGTTTTTATTACCATGAACATCATTCATTCAGCATTTCAAAGAAACTGATAATACTACTATGGAGAAAAAGTCCCAATTTAAGTGTTACACTACTTCAAAAGAGTAGATGACAACTGAAACCTTCTGTCACCTCATATAACATGGTAGTTTATTATTCTTTCTACCTGAGCTGCTGGAATCAATTGGTCAATAGAGGGAATGCCACTGTGATATTATGGCAGGGATTGAACTCAGGGGCATTCAACCACTGAGCCACATCCCCAGCCTTATTATGTATTTTATTTAGAGACGGGATCTAAGTTGCTTAGCACCTCACTTTTTGCAGAGGCTGGCCCTGAACTCAAAATTTTCCAGGCTTAGCCTCCCAAGCTGCTGGGATTACAGGCATGTGCCACGGCGCCCAGCTTAAATATGCTTTTTTAAAAAGTGAAATACACAGAAGCAAGGTTTTTTCCTACACATAAGGTAGGCATGTTTTCCAATTCCACCTAAAATTTTCACTGTGAAACATCAGAAGTATAAATGTTTACAGAATAGACATACAGCTGAAAGAATAACATTTTCAAAAAAGCATTCTTCCACAACTTAAAAGCCTCCATGCACCCATCCCTGCCTGATCACATTCCTCTTCTATCTCTCTGGATTAACAGTATCTGAACTATATATGTATCCCTTATAACAATTCATTTAATTTGTCTCTAAAATTTTAAATAAATTGAATCATAGTATCAAACAGGTACAATATCAGCAATTCAAACAAAGCATTATCACTTGAATGTAGTGTCAATATTTGAATAAACATTATCTAGATGTAATATGAAGCAAAAAAATTCCACATAATATTAATATCAGTTGAAGTCTAAATGCTTATTTTGAGAGTAAAAAAATGCTACAATAACTAATGATTTTGAATGTTATTAATTTTATGTACAATAAACGTTTCCAAGTATTTCAGTTAGTTAAACTGGGAAACAATGACAATACACATAAAAAATTCAGTACATAAATTACTTAGCTCAAAAGGAAATATTTTCCTAAAGACATTTATCAACTATTCCTACACATTTAAATAATAATACCAGGCAGAGTAATCAAAATTAGATTACATCCTTTTTAAAACAATGTTACTGTGTTTTTCATACTTTTTTATTTTTAGTAGTGCTGAGGATTGAACCCAGTGCCTCACACATTAGCCAAGCTCTCTACCACTGAGCCACAACCATAGCCCCTAGACTACATCTTAATTCTAAACTTTAAAGAACTGTTTGGTATACTGTTTGGTATTATTCACAGCATAATACAAAGAGCTTTAGGACACATTTAATTGTTAGCTCTTTAATTAGGTCTATTTTTTCAAGAAAGAAATATCAATAGGAATTTTTCAGCTCCAGTGAAGATGAATTAAAAACCAAATAACAACCTTGTTTCTTTAAAATTTTACAAGAAAAAAGAACTTCAAAATTGTGTACATTCAACATAAATTATCTTTGATTCACACATAAGTATAAAGTTTACAAAAGAAAAGTATTTAGTTATCTAAATACATTGTTTTCCTTAATCAAACTTCAAAATCTGTATCAGAATTCTTTTTTTTATATTTTTATTTCTTTTTTATTTGTTTTTTTTAGTTATACAAGACAGTAGAGTATGTTGACATATTTATAAAAACATGGAGTATATTTTATTCTAATTAGGATTCCAGCCTGTGGATGTACACAATGTTGAGATTCACTGGTATATTCATATATGTACATAGGGAAGTTATTAAGAAGATAATTCCTTATAAATGAGGCTGAGGCCACTAAACAAATCAATTAAAAACATGTAAAAATGATTTCTGTAGATTGCCAATCTTTTTAAATAGTGGAAAACAAGATTCTTAATATTTATTCAAGTTCTCGGTCCTAGGTACAAGGTTCTTTCTAATAACATGTTATTAAGCATGTTATTAGAAAGCTTTGTTCTAAACTTAAGTAACAAAATTTAAATGTGCTGCTGCTTGTACTTAGTCATGCAGATACAGAGCCTTTAAGTTGGAAAGCACAATACATTGATTAATTCAACTCTGCTAAAAGTATAATATCTGATTGAAAAAATACAACGGAAAACAAAAAGTGTTGGACAACACTCAGTGATAAATGGGGTATGAATGATTTAGGAATCAGCAACATTCAATGTTTTATTCAGACTTTTCAATTACTTGTTATGAGTAGAGAAATGGTGGGCCACTCTCATCATTCTGCCTCAAAGATGAGCCATTTACTTAACATGAGATGTTCACAAGAGGGAACAGCAGTTACATTTTATACAGGCTGCTTGAACATAAAGATAGTCCCCAAATTGTGCTTTGGAAGTAACAAAACCAACATATCAGGACCTACTAATATCAGTATCAGCTAATTAGTTCATTTGTCAGATCCTACTAAAAATAACCAACTACACACACCCTGTTATGCAAAGACTTACAGGATATAGCTTTGAACTGGGCATCATGGCACACACCTGTGATCCCAGCTACCTGTGAGGTCTAGAGCAAGGAGGATAACAAGCCTCAGCCTGGGCAACTTAATGAGAGACTCTCAAAATAAATATTAAAAAGGGCTGGATGTAGCTCAGTGGTGGAGTACTTGCCTAGAATGCATGAGGCCCTGTGTTTAAAAAAAAAAGATACAGTTGTGAAGATATTCCACTTTGCTGAAATTGGAGTTCATTCAATTAAAAAAAAAAACAAGATACAGATGGGAAATTCATGACATTCTTGTCTTGAGAGCCATGATTCCATTGCCAAATTTGTAGATCCAAAAATCTAAGACCTTGAATGATTGTGAAAAGCAACAAGTGCATGCAAATGTATATTTAAAAGCACAAAATAGGGGCTGGGGTTATGGCTTAGTGGTGGAGCAGTCGCCTGGCATGTGCGAAGCACTGGGTTCTGGGTTCGATCCTCAGCACTACATAAAAATAAACAAAGGTCAACCAATAAAATAAATAAATAAATAATAAAGATTTTAAAAAAAGAAAAAAATAAACAAAGGTATAAAAAAGAAGGCTTATTTTAAAAAGCACAAAATAAGGCAATATAAGTGGGGAGAAAATCAGAAATCACCTGGAAACATGCAGAAAACTCCAGTTTGGGAATAATGGCTTCATAACTATTAATACAATTTAAAAGGTCAGAATACTAAGAGGACAGTGTAACTTTAGTAGGTTATTATTAGAAAGAAAACTTGACATCACAGCAGTTACATCCCAGTACTAGTAAAGACTTGAAAATACCTTGTTCTTTCACCAACCTTAGCTGCTCCTTAAAACCTTGCTAAGGAATTATTGTTCTTAC